AAGAAGATCTAACAATTGTAAATATCTATGCCCCTAACATGGGAGCAGCCAATTATATAAGGCAATTAATAACAAAAGCAAAGAAACACATCGACAACAATACAATAATAGTGGGGGACTTTAACATCCCCCTCACTGAAATGGACAGATCGTCTAAGCAAAAGATCAACAAGGAAATAAAGACTTTAAATGACACACTGGACCAAATGGACTTCACAGACCTATTCAGAACATTCCACCCCAAAGCAACGGAATACACATTCTTCTCTAGTGCCCATGGAACATTCTCCAGAATAGATCACATCCTAGGTCATAAATCAGGTCTCAACCGGTACCAAAAGATTGGGATCATTCCCTGCCTATTTTCAGACCACAATGCTTTGAAACTAGAACTCAATCACAAGAGGAAAGTCGGAAAGAACTCAAATACATGGAGGCTAAGGAGCATCCTACTGAAGAATGAATGGGTCAACCAGGAAATTAAAGAAGAATTAAAAAAATACATGGAAACCAATGAAAATGAAAACACAACTGTTCAAAATCTTTGGGATGCAGCAAAGGCAGTCCTAAGAGGAAAGTATATAGCAATACAAGCCTTTCTCAAGAAACAAGAAAGGTCTCAAGTACACAACCTAACCCTACACCTAAAGGAGCTGGAGAAAGAACAGCAAATAAAGCCTAAACCCAGCAGGAGAAGAGAAATCATAAAGATCAGAGCAGAAATCAATGAAATAGAAACTAAAATAACAGTAGAACAGATCAACGAAACTAGGAGCTGGTTCTTTGAAAGAATTAACAAAATTGATAAACCCCTGGCCAGACTTATCAAAAAGAGAAGAGAAATGACCCAAATCAACAAAATCATGAATGAAAGAGGAGAGATCACAACCAACACCAAAGAAATACAAACAATTATAAGAACATATTATGAGCAACTCTATGCCAGCAAATTAGATAACCTGGAAGAGATGGAGGCATTCCTAGAGATGTATCAACTACCAAAACTGATCCAGGATGAAATAGAAAACCTGAACAGACCTATAACCACTAAGGAAATTGAAGCAGTCATCAAAAATCTCCCAAAAAACAAAAGCCCAGGGCCAGATGGCTTCCCAGGGGAATTCTACCAAACCTTTCAAGAAGAATTAATACCTATTCTTCTGAAACTGTTCCAGAAAATAGAAACGGAAGGAAAACTTCCAAACTCATTTTATGAGGCCAGCATTACCTTGATCCCAAAACCAGACAAAGACCCCAACAAAAAGGAGAATTACAGACCAATATCCCTGATGAACATGGATGCAAAAATTCTCACCAAAATACTAGCCAATAGGATCCAACAGTATATTAAAAGGATTATTCACCATGACCAAGTGGGATTTATCCCTGGGCTGCAAGGTTGGTTCAACATCCGCAAACCAATCAATGTGATACAATACATTAACAAAAGAAAGAACAAGAATCATATGATCCTCTCAATAGATGCAGAAAAAGCTTTTGACAAAGTACAGCATCCTTTCTTGATCAAAACGCTTCAGAGTATAGGGATAGAGGGTACATACCTCAATATCATAAAAACCATCTATGAAAAACCTACAGCAAATATTATTCTCAATGGGGAAAAACTGAGAGCTTTCCCCCTAAGGTCAGGAACGCGGCAGGGATGTCCACTATCACCACTGCTATTCAACACAGTATTGGAAGTCCTAGCCACAGCAATCAGACAACAAAAAGAAATCAAAGGCATACAAATTGGCAAAGAAGAAGTCAAACTCTCACTCTTTGCAGATGATATGATACTTTATGTGGAAAACCCAAAAGACTCCACCCCAAAACTGCTAGAACTCATACAGGAATTCAGTAAAGTGGCAGGATATAAAATCAATGCACAGAAGTCATTGGCTTTCCTATACACCAACAACAAGACAGAAGAAAGAGAAATTAAGGAGTCCATCCCATTTACAATTGCACCCAAAACCATAAGATACCTAGGAATAAATCTAACCAAAGAGACAAAAGATCTATACTCAGAAAACTATAAAATACTCATGAAAGAAATTGAGGAAGACACAAAGAAATGGAAAAACGTTCCATGCTCATGGATTGGAAGAACAAATATCGTGAAGATGTCAATGCTACCTAGAGCAATCTACACATTCAATGCAATCCCCATCAAAATACCATCCACTTTTTTCAAAGAAATGGAACAAATAATCCTAAAATTTGTATGGAACCAGAAAAGACCCCGCATAGCCAGAGGAATATTGAAAAAGAAAAGCAAAGCCGGTGGCATCACAATTCCGGACTTCAAGCTCTATTACAAAGCTGTCATCATCAAGACGGCATGGTACTGGCACAAAAACAGACACATAGATCAGTGGAACAGAATAGAGAGCCCAGAAATGGACCCTCAACTCTATGGTCAACTCATCTTTGACAAAGCAGGAAAGAATGTCCAATGGAACAAAGACAGTCTCTTCAACAAATGGTGTTGGGAAAATTGGATAGCCACATGCAGAAGAATGAAACTGGACCATTTCCTTACACCACACACAAAAATAGACTCCAAATGGTTGAAAGACCTCAATGTGAGACAGGAGTCCATCAAAATCCTAAAGGAGAACACAGGCAGCAACCTCTTTGACCTCAGCCGAAGCAACTTCTTCCTAGAAACATCGCCAAAGGCAAGGGAAGCAAGGGCAAAAATGAACTATTGGGACTTCATCAAGATAAAAAAGCTTTTGCAAAGCGAAGGAAACAGTCAACAAAACCAAAAGACAACCGACAGAATGGGAGAAGATATTTGCAAATGACATATCAGATAAAGGGCTAGTATCCAAAATCTATAAAGAACTCATCAAACTCAACACCCAAAGAACAAAGAATCCAATCAAGAAATGGGCAGAAGACATGAACAGACATTTTTCCAAAAAAGACATCCAAATGTCCAACAGACACATGAAAAAGTGCTCAACATCGCTCAGCATCAGGGAAATCCAAATCAAAACCTCAATGAGATACCACCTCACACCAGTCAGAATGGCTAAAATTAACAAGTCAGGAAACGACAGATGTTGGCGGGGATGCGGAGAAAGGGGAACCCTCCTACACTGTTGGTGGGAATGCAAGCTGGTGCAGCCACTCTGGAAAACAGTATGGAGGTTCCTCAAAAAGTTGAAAATAGAGCTACCCTATGATCCAGCAATTGCACTACTGGGTATTTACCCCAAAGATACAAAAGTAGGGATCCAAAGGGGTACGTGCACCCCGATGTTTATAGCAGCAATGTCCACAATAGCCAAACTGTGGAAAGAGCCAAGATGTCCATCCACAGACGAATGGATAAAGAAGATGTGGTATATATATACAATGGAATATTATGCGGCCATCAAAAGGAATGAGATCTTGCCATTTGCAACGACGTGGATGGAACTGGAGGGTATTATGTTGAGTGAAATAAGTCAAAAAGAGAAAGACATGTATCATATGATCTCACTGATATGAGGAATTCTTAATCGCAGGAATCAAACTGAGGGTTGTTGGAGTGGGAGGTGGGGTGGGAGGGATGGGGTGACTGGGTGATAGACACTGGGGAGGGTATGTGCTCTGGTAAGCGCTGTGAATTGTGCAAGACTGTTGAATCTCAGATCTGTACCTCTGAAACAAATAATGCAATATATGTTGAGAAAAAAAAAAAGAAGAAGAGGAAGGTAGCGGGAGGGGAAGAATGAAGCGGGGGAAATCGGAGGGGGAGACGAACCATGAGAGACGATGGACTCTGAAAAACAAACAGGGTTCTAGAGGGGAGGGGGGTGGGAGGATGGGTTAGCCTGGTGGTGGGTATTTAGGAGGGCACATTCTGCATGGAGCACTGGGTGTTGTGCACAAACAATGAATCATGGAACACTTCATCTAAAACTAATGATGTAATGTATGGGGATTAACATAAGAATAAAAAATTAAAAAAAAAAAAAAAAAGAAACCAAGAGGGCGCCTGGGTGGCTCAGTTGGTTAAGCAACTGCCTTCGGCTCAGGTCGTGATCCTGGAGTCCCGGGATCGAGTCCTGCATCAGGCTCCCTGCTCAGCGGGGAGTCTGCTTCTCCCTCTGACCCTCCCCGCTCTCATGTACTCTCTCTCTCTCTCATTCTCTCAAATAAATAAATAAATAAAATCTTTAAAAAAAAAAAAAAAAAAAAAGAAACCAAGAGCTCAGAGTGACCGGTTCTCAGAGGAAAAGAGTCACATCCCACACAAATGTGGAGACAGGAGACAGGGGCATCAGCCAGAAGCCAATCCCCGAGCGAGGACCACAGCCTGCAGAATCAGCCCGACCTGTGTGTTTATGCCGTGTGGACCCCTGAAGCAAGCTACCCGTTTCTTGCCCTTGGGGGAGAACAGAGACCCCGGTGAGGGCCAGGAGGGGCCCGGGAGCTGCAGGGAGGCCCTCGAGTCAGGCCCCTGACGCTGGGTGGCAGAATGGCAAACAAGAGAGGCAAACATAGATGCCAGAGGAGCAGCCAGCAGGGAGATCTCGGGGCTCGGGGAAGGTCCACCAAATCGGCCAAAATGGAGTGTTGATGCAGAGGTGACTGCGGTCTGGCCGAGATGGGCCACCTGCTCTGACGCGGCTTCCTGTCTCCACCACGAGTGAAGAAAGACACTGCTCTCCGTGCATCCCTTCTAACAGCTCTCGTCATCACATGAACAACTACAAATTATGGGCACCTGGGGGCGCAGTTGGTTAAGCGTCCGACTCTTGGTTTCGACTCGGGTCGTGTTTGGCCCAGGCCGTGGGATCAAGCCCCACGTCCGACTCTTGGTTTCGGCTCAGGTCGTGGGATCGAGCCCCACGTCGGGCTCCGCGCTCGGTGCATTTGCTTCAGATTCTTTCTCTCTCCCTCTGCCCCTCCCGGCTCAAACTCGATCTCTCTCTCTCTCAAATAAATAAATAAAATCTGTAACAAAATAAAAATTAACATATGGAACCTTGTCCACTGACCTCTCGGAGGACCAGCAGGTGCATACACATGCACCGTCTGCTCATCCCAGGCGTAGACCTTCCTCACGAGAAAATCAGAAGGAGTAGGTTTCTCAGAGAACCTAGGATGGAAAAACAATGCAACAGTGTCTGGTTCTGTTTTGCTTTTTCCTCCCAAAGACCTTAGTCATAGGATTTTGAGCAAACACCCTGTTGACAACAAGGACACAGGCCGGGACTCCACGGCGCCACTGGGCTTTCGGTAAGAGCCACACAACACTGTCCCTCCTCACTCATTACAGAAGAAAACCTTCAGCCCGAAACACGAATGGCGCAGCCTGCGGGAATAACACAGTACCGCTCTGCACACTTGGGAAGGTGGGCACTGAGGCAGATGCACCTGCTGGTCCTAGTTACCTCCTTGCAGTAACTGCGAGCAGCCAGAACAGGAGGACGGGGGACGGTGAGCCCCACGCGGTCACTGAGAACCTGGTCAGAACCAACTGACCTTTTATCTGCGTGACCTAAAGAATTAAGGGAAAACCCAAAGGAGAAAAGAGATTTGCTCCCGGTAACAGTTTGGCTCATGTGGCAGGAGAAGGGTGGAGCCAACGATACACAGGGACACCATGGTGCACGCGGTGTAGACATCCCCCTGCAGAAGGCCACGTGGCTGAGGGCCCCACCCGAGCAGGGCAGTGGGACAGGGGGAGGACCCAGCCTGCGGGGAGGAGAGATGGTCTAACAGAACCCGGGCCCATCCAGACGGACAACGAACTCCCACAGCCGGTGGCTTCCATGGACACTGTCAATGCAGGATTCCAAAAAACCTTCCCAGGTGGCCACTTATTTAGTGCTCCCTTGTGATCTGTTCATGAAATGGGCCTACCCAAGCCTCACAAACTCAACATCGTTGAGAAACAGGGTTCATTTATCGAGTCTCCTCTGACACATCATCTGAACACATTTTTTTCTTTAAAAAAAAAAAAATAGAATTCTGACCCAGGTCTATACTGGGAGAGAGCACTGGATTCCGATGAGGCCCCCTGTGTTATCACCGACACTCAGGTGTTTCTTACTCTAACAAGCTCAGCGGGCAAGAATCCAAGCTCAGGGAAACAAAGCAGGAAGCTTACTCCCCAAGCAAGTGTCTATGTCCCATAACTTCGTTAGACCACGAGCCTCAGGACTGCGTGGAAAGTGAATTTCACTCCCTGGTTTTCACGAGATGTTCACGATTATCATGAATCATGTTGTCCTTCTTGTTGCCATCTGGACCCCATGGTGGCGGTCCCCCCACAACACACCTTACCAGCACCATGACCGGGAAAGCTCTCAGAACAGGCCTAGAAAATTCTATCCTTATGTGCAGAGACTCCTGGGGGTTTGCAGAATGCCCGATGAACCGATGAACATTCACTCTATCCCGGAACAGGACAAACGTCATCTCAGTTCTATTTTCCTGTCCCAAAATGGAGAGCAAGGTCAGCAAAGGCAGGAAAAGCCAGCCAGTGTGGTCTGCATGAACTCAAGGCAGCTTGGAAAGACCCCTCACCAGGGCATCCTCCTCCCCGAACTCCACGGTCATGGGCTCCCTCAGCCGCCACCTGCTGATGGGTCTCCTGCTGGAGCAGCTGAACAGGGACGGGGCGACCACCTGGCCAATCTGCGGACAAGAGTGCCTAGGAGCAGTGGGGCCAGCAATCACACCCCTCCCGTGGGCCATGCTGGGCACCTGACGGTAGGGGGCAGCGTGGAAAAACGCGGCTCCTTCAGCTGGTTAGAATGGCAGGACTGGGGGACGCCATGCTGCCCTTGGATGATCACTCTCACTACCTTGACAATTTTTAGTCTCTAAAGCAGTTTTGTTTTGTTTTGTTTTTAACTGGGGGGGAGGGGCAGAAGGAGAGAGAATCCCAAGCAGACTCCCCACTGACTGTGGAGCCTGATGCAGGGCAAGATCTCAGGACCATGAGATCACGACCTGAGCCTAAATCAGGAGTCAGATGCTTAACAAACAGCCACTCCGGTGCCCCGGTAATCTTGCTATTTACTTGGAAAGCTCATACGAAAGAAAGAGCGGCAGATCATAGACAATCAGGAAGCGACAGAAAGGGGTCCAGAACACCTCCGCTCAGAGAACCTGTCTGGGGACGCCACATCTGAAACCATCTCTATGTACCAGCTACGTACACGGCACACAATGCACGTTCTGCGTTTTTTGCATAAAAGCTTCCAAAGTCACTAAAATTCTCCAGCTGACATCATTAACTGGCTATTTATAGATGATCATAAATCATTTAAATCACCAGTGAGCTGGGCCCCCGTTGAACATTCAGGTACAACGCTATTTGGGTTATCATGAACCATGTTGTGTTGAACAAATGAAGCTACCCATCTTGCTTTGAGTAAGTCTGCTCATCTCCTCTGTAGATTCCTGCAAGTACAGCGGCAGGTCCGGCGTCTGAAGCATCTCGGGAGCGCTGCTCGGGAGCATGCACCTCGGATGCCCGCTCGCTGCACCTCCACACAGGTGAGTCTCTTTAAACAACTGCACTGCTGTGCACTAAAAAATCACTTTCATTTCTGTTTCCTTACTGCTCGTTAGTCTGATTTTCATATGCGGGTTAACCATTTCTATTTCTATTTCCCTAAATAATAAAAGGTCAGTGTTTTATAAGATGAGCGTTTGTTAGCAAAAGAAGCTGCCCATCATTAATTGGTGCATTCATCCATCAGACATCATCAGGTACTTGAGCCAGGCTGGGGGGTGTGGAACACACAGAAAATGCCGGGCTCTGCCCTCCCAGCTCCCTGCCATTCCTGGGGCCCTTCAGATGGTTTCTTTTTCTTTCTCTCTCTCTCTTTCTCTCTTTCTCTCTTTCTCTCTTTCTCTCTCTCTTTCTCTCTTTCTCTCTTTCTCTCTTTCTCTCTTTCTTTCTTTCTTTCTTTCTTTCTTTCTTTCTCTCTCTCTCTCTCTCTCTCTCTCTCTTTCTTTCCTTTCTTTTCTTTCTTTCTTTCTTTCTCTCTTTCTCTCTTTCTCTTTCTTTCTCTCTTTCTCTTTCTTTCTTCTTTCTCTTCCTTTCTTTCTTTCCTCTCTTTCTTTCCTTCCTTCCTTCCTTTCTTTCTTTCCTTCTTTCCTTCCTTCCTTCCTTTTTAAAGATTTTATTTATTTATTTGAGAGAGAAAAAGAGAGAGAGGGAGAGCACGTGCAGGAGGAGAAGCAGAGGCAGAGGGAGAAGCAGACTCCCCTGCTGAGCAGAGAGCCTGATGTGGGGCTCGATCCCAGGACCCTGAGGTCATGTCCTGAGCTGAAGGCAGATGCTCAACTGACTGAGCCACCCAAACGCCCCACCACCCTGATCCCTTCTTCCTCATCAAAGCATCATTACTGCACACTGGAGGTGGTCATTGGAAGGGGCTGGTCACCCGCCACATTGTACCTGACCAGGAGCTTGGCCCCCTGGATACGGGTTCTTCTTGAAGAGCACGAGGCGGCTAATGTAGCATGCGCTCTGCGTTTCCACCCCTGTAGGACTCTGTCCAGCCAGGTCTGCAGGGAAACGCACCTGGACGGAGCCCAGGCCCTGCACGCAGCTCTGCAGGTCGCGATGAAGAAGCACGTGGAACTCCATCTGCCCAGTGCTGACGTGGAGCCGATGCTCCTTGCTTGCAGAGAGGCCATCCTGAAACGGAGCCCGGAGAGTCAAACGTTCCCAGTGCAAATGAATAAGTTGTCTGGGATCCGGAACCAGGGGCGAGGCGGCAAATAATGGGAAATGCGGCCCATCTCAGCGTGGTTGGGATTCACGGGCCCCAGCGACTATTTTGATATAAAGCTATAAATGCCCAATAACAATAAGATGTAAACTGCTTTCTTTGGTTTTGACTCATCTTCCTGTGATCTTATTCATTTTGCAACAAGTGTGATACTTCGGTTATATTTCTTGCAGCTTCTTAGCCCATCCAGAAGGAGCCTGAACGTCCCGTGGACTTGGCAGTGGACCTAAGCCCTGCGCCGTGGGGGTCAGTGAGGGCAGATATAAGGATGTGTAGAGCACGCATGCAGAGTTGCTAATCCTGGTTGCTATTACGAGATTCAGCTTGAGCTTTTGTTTATTTTCTGATTTCCCAAATGTAAGGTAAACGAGTAGGTCTGGGCAGGAGGGCAGATAAATGAGTAGGAGAGGAGAGACAGAGCCTGTCTATTAACTTACTGCTTCTTAAAAGTGTTGGCCATTTCTTATGGGGAAAAACCCAGTAAATCCCAATTTCCCATAGTTACTGCAACAGAAATAAACTTGGGTGGATTTTTCTGTAGTTGAATATCAGAGAGTTGCTCTTTACACTAATGCACATTAGAAATCCTTTGCACTACTTCTCTTCACTCCTCAAGAAGCAGAAAGTGTGCTAAGAAATGCTGGTTCTAAGTCCAGCGCTGCCCCAGATATCCCGAAGGAAATCTCCCAAAACACGGAAGGATGGAGCAGAGAAACATTTCAGAGGAACATGAATAGATTCGCATGAAACACTTGAAATTCAACACCCAATTTCCAAGGACCCCGCGACCACCCAGAACAATCACCATAGTACTTCCGAAACCAATTCTATTTTTGGTTTCTAGAAGCAGTTACCAGAGGAGATGGCTGCTACCCATGGAGAGAAAGTCGGGCTTACCAACAAGAGGTCTGAGATGACCTTAATCCCCTCTTCTTGCAGGTAGCTCGCAGTCCTCGGTTTGTCCTGGTCATATGCTTCCAAGACTTCGGACACCAGCAGGATGAGCTCAAGCCTTGACCCCTCATCCACCGTGAGCCTCCCCGACAGTGGGCTCTGAGCCAGGAGTCCCCGGGCGGCTTTGAGGATGAGAGCCGCGCTCGTAAAGCCTAACTGCAGGAAAAGAGAAGGCAAACGGAGACTCTGCCCATACCTGCCTCTTCCTTCGCTGCTGGAAATAAAAAACCAGCACCATGGCTCGAGAGGGCGGGGTTCGAGCCCGGATTTGGAGTCTAGCGGATTCTTGGCCTACACCACTGGTGCCAATTTCTTCTCTGGTCTTCAGTCTCCTGACCCACGAAACCACCACAGAAAATAAAGGTCTCTGATGGCCGTTTATGTTAAGACGCTACTTGCTTTGAACCCAACAACCGCTTCACAAACCCTGAAATGGGCCCCACCGCCTCCTACAGGCGTCTGGAGCGCACAGACCCTCCTACGGTTCCCAAAGAACCAAGGCTTCTCCCTGCAATGCCCTTACTCTGCACCTGCTGGCAAAATCCTACTCCTCTCTTTTCCTTAACCCTTAACAGGGACCATTTTCGGACCCACACGGAAGTAGAGAGAATAATACAGTGCTATGACAGGCCCCCTCCCAGCTGTGACCTTTACTCATCGCAATAGATGTTCTATCCCTCCTTGGACTTCTTTTTTTTTTTTTAAAGATTTATTTATTTATTTATTTGAGAGAGAAAGAGAGAGAGAACAGGAGCAAGAGGGGCAGAGGCAGAGGGAGACTCTTAAGCAGGTTCCATGCCCAGCGTGGAGCCCAACATGGGGCTCGATCTCACAATCCTGAGATCATGACCTGAGCCGAAATCAAGAGTCAGATGCTTTGCTGACGGAGCCCCCAGGTGCCCCTCCCTCCTTGGACTTCTGAAACAATATTTAAACGCAAATCTCAGGTATTATTTCTACCCACCAACATGTCAGTATGTATTGCTGACAGATGAGAACTCTTTCTAAAGACATGCCCATGAGCTCACGTCACCTCGAGCAAGATGAATCATGATTCTTCCCACTTAGCTTTTAAAAACAATTTCAAACGTCTGCCATGCGAAGTGCTCTGCATCAGCACCTTTCTGGAACACTCTGTCATCCTTGTCATTACAGGACCTGGCATGTTTATCGAAGCATATGTGTTCCCACATGCAGCTTCACTCATCGGTGCCCGAAAGACAGGACTAAATGATCTGCTTTGTCCCTTAGCAGGTCCCGGGAATTGCTAATAAATGCACATCCATGAGATGAAATTAAGATCCCACTATCTGGCAGTCATGCTTGTTTAACCAAAACGGTAATGTTTTGGAAATAACTCCCTGCAATGAAACCCTGTTCGCCAGCAGTAAAATTAAGCTACTCTGGAAATTCACTGACGTCGCTATTAAAGGCACCCTACCCGAAGGGACTTATCATGCAAATGGAAAGAAGAATCTCTTACTTGAACTCAAACAAACGCTTTAAGGAATACATCATGGCCGCTTTTCACACCGGACGTTTTTCAACCCAAACGATCGGAAATGTTTTCTGGAAATGACAGGCATGCTCAGGTTTGTGCACCGCTGAGCCAAGGGCCGTGGCAGACCCTGGAGCATGCAGACATGTGAGGAAGACTGAGGCAGGGAGGTCTGGCTTCCAACAGGTGCACCCTCCTGACCCGGAGGGGGGTAATTCCATCCCTGGGAGCCTGGAGCCCAGGAGTGGCCTCGGGACGGGACCTCCCGGGGGACGTGACGGGGTGAGGGGGGGCACCTCCAGGCAACACTGTCGACAAGTGGTGCCCCTTCTCCACGCCCTCCTCCAGCCTGGAAGCCAGAGGGGAGCACAAGCTGAAAGGAGCCTCGTCCCTGCACCGCCCCAGGAAGCCCACCTACTAAACACCTGCGTGTGTGGTGGGGACAGACGTGGGTCTGGTCGGGCCGCCGACACGCCAGGGCTGGTCCGTTATTGACCCAATCCAGTCTGAGGTGGAAGACAGACAAGCAAAAAGGAACCGTGAGTCATGGGTGCTGGAGCGCCCAGACGCAGTCACGCGTGGGTTTGTCCAGAGAAAGGGGACTCTGGCTGCCGGGCTCTGGAGTCCTCAGAGCAGGGGGCATTTGAACCTCGCCTGGAGGAGAAACCAGCGCTAGTGCTAGTGGGAGCTCTTCAGGCTGAGGGAGAACACGCTGTCTCAGGGATACGAGAGACGTTCAGGGACGGGAGCATGGCAGGTGGCCGTGGGGAAGGTGCCAGGTGACGGCAGAGGGGCTGGAGACGGGTCAAGCGCAGGGGTGAGGCGGGGGAGAACTGATGTCCTCGAGCTGCTGGGGAGTCACCAATGCTTTAAAGGCAGCTAGGGTCACTGGCTGATGTGTCTGCTCTGAGGATGGCTCCGGCACTCGTGTGGGGATGTGGCCGGCCTTCCTGCCCAGGTGTGGCCACTGCCATGGAGCAGTTCAAGGTGGTGAGGATGCGAGTCGGGCAGGAGGGAGGGGAACAGGGTGCAGGGCCGCCCACGTCGTCACTCATTCTGTCTGCGGCGCTGGGCTGGCGTCACGGCCACGGTTATGGGGTGCACAGAACAGAAGGGCCCTGAGTGCGTGGGGGAATGTCCTGGCGAGGGGGGGTAAGGAGCACAGTCAGAGGCAGGGAGCACAGACGGGGGGCAGGGAGCACAGTCGGAGAAGCAGGGAGCATAGTCGGGGGGGCAGGGAGCACAGTCGGGAGCAGGGAGCACAGTCGGGAGGCAGGGAGCACAGTGGGAGAAGCAGGGAGCACAGTCGGAGAGACAGGGAGCACAGTCGGGGGAGCAGGGAGCACAGTCGGGGGGCAGGGAGCACAGTCGGAGAAGCAGGGAGCATAGTCGGGGGGGCAGGGAGCACAGTCGGGAGCAGGGAGCACAGTCGGGAGGCAGGGAGCACAGTGGGAGAAGCAGGGAGCACAGTCGGAGAGACAGGGAGCACAGTCGGGGGAGCAGGGAGCACAGTCGGGGGGCAGGGAGCACAGTCGGGGGGCAGGGAGCACAGTCGGGGGCAGGGAGCACAGTCGGAGAAGCAGGGAGCACAGTCGGGGAGGCAGGGAGCACAGTCAGGGGGCAGGGAGCACAGTCGGGGGGCAGGGAGCACAATCGGGGGGCAGGGAGCTCAGTCGGGGAGGCAGGGAGCACAGTCGGGAGGCAGGGAGCACAGTCGGGAGGCAGGGAGCACAGTCGGGAGGCAGGGAGCACAATCGGGGGCAGGGAGCTCAGTCGGGGAGGCAGGGAGCACAGTCAGGGGGCAGGGAGCACAGTCAGGGGGCAGGGAGCACAATCGGGGGGCAGGGAGCTCAGTCGGGGAGGCAGGGAGCACAGTCGGGAGGCAGGGAGCACAGTCGGGGGGCAGGGAGCACAGTCGGGGGGCAGGGAGCACAGTCGGGGGCAGGGAGCACAGTCGGAGAAGCAGGGAGCATAGTCGGGGGGGCAGGGAGCACAGTCGGGAGCAGGGAGCACAGTCAGGGGGCAGGGAGCTCAGTCGGGAGCAGGGAGCACAGTCGGGAGGCAGGGAGCACAGTGGGAGAAGCAGGGAGCACAGTCGGGGAGGCAGGGAGCACAGTCAGGGGGCAGGGAGCACAGTCAGGGGGCAGGGAGCACAATCGGGGGGCAGGGAGCTCAGTCGGGGAGGCAGGGAGCACAGTCGGGAGGCAGGGAGCACAGTCGGGAGGCAGGGAGCACAGTCGGGAGGCAGGGAGCACAATCGGGGGCAGGGAGCTCAGTCGGGGGGCAGGGAGCTCAGTCGGGGAGGCAGGGAGCACAGTCGGAGAAGCAGGGAGCACAGTCGGGGGGCAGGGAGCACAGTCGGGGAGGCAGGGAGCACACTCGCGAGGCAGGGAGCACAGTGGGAGAAGCAGGGAGCACAGTTGGGGGGGCAGGGAGCACAGTCGGGAGCAGGGAGCACAGTCGGGGGGCAGGGAGCACAGTGGGAGAAGCAGGGAGCACAGTTGGGGGGGCAGGGAGCACAGTCGGGAGCAGGGAGCACAGTCGGGAGGCAGGGAGCTCAGTCGGGGAAGCAGGGAGCACAGTCGGGAGGCAGGGAGCACAGTGGGAGAAGCAGGGAGCACAGTTGGGGGGGCAGGGAGCACAGTCGGGAGCAGGGAGCACAGTCGGGAGGCAGGGAGCACAGTCGGGGGGCAGGGAGCTCAGTCAGAGAGGCAGGGAGCACAGTCAGGAGGCAGGGTGAACAGTCGGGGGCAGGGAGCACAGACGGGGGGCAGGGAGCACAGTCGGAGAAGCAGGGAGCACAGTCGGGAGGCAGGGAGCACAGTCGGGGGGCAGGGAGCTCAGTCAGAGAGGCAGGGAGCACAGTCAGGAGGCTGGGAGCACAGTCGGGAGCAGGGAGCACAGACGGGGGCAGGGAGCACAGTCGGGGGGCAGGGAGCACAGTCGGGGAGGCAGGGAGCACACTCGCGAGGCAGGGAGCACAGTCGGGGGCAGGGAGCACAGACGGGGGGCAGGGAGCACAGTCGGGGGGCAGGGAGCACAGTCGGGGAGGCAGGGAGCACACTCGCGAGGCAGGGAGCACAGTCGGGGAGGCAGGGAGCACAGTCGGAGAAGCAGGGAGCACAGTTGGGGGGCAGGGAGCACAGTCGGGGAGGCAGGGAGCACACTCACGAGGCAGGGAGCACAGTGGGAGAAGCAGGGAGCACAGTCGGGAGCAGGGAGCACAGTCGGGAGGCAGGGAGCACAGTCGGAGTAGGGAGCACAGTCGGGGGGCAGGGAGCACAGTCGGGGAGGCAGGGAGCACAGTCGCGAGGCAGGGAGCACAGTGGGAGAAGCAGGGAGCACAGTTGGGGGGGCAGGGAGCACAGTCGGGAGCAGGGAGCACAGTCGGGAGGCAGGGAGCTCAGTCGGGGAGGCAGGGAGCACAGTCGGGAGGCAGGGAGCACAGTGGGAGAAGCAGGGAGCACAGTCGGGGGGCAGGGAGCACAGTCGGGGAGGCAGGGAGCACACTCGCGAGGCAGGGAGCACAGTGGGAGAAGCAGGGAGCACAGTTGGGGGGGCAGGGAGCACAGTCGGGAGCAGGGAGCACAGTCGGGAGGCAGGGAGCTCAGTCGGGGGGCAGGGAGCTCAGTCGGGGGGCAGGGAGCACAGTCGGGGAGGCAGGGAGCACAGTGGGAGAAGCAGGGAGCACAGTTGTGGGGCAGGGAGCACAGTCGGGAGCAGGGAGCACAGTCGGGGAGGCAGGGAGCACAGTCGGAGAAGCAGGGAGCACAGTTGGGGGGCAGGGAGCACAGTCGGGGAGGCAGGGAGCACACTCACGAGGCAGGGAGCACAGTGGGAGAAGCAGGGAGCACAGTCGGGAGCAGGGAGCACAGTCGGGAGGCAGGGAGCACAGTCGGAGTAGGGAGCACAGTCGGGGGGCAGGGAGCACAGTCGGGGAGGCAGGGAGCACAGTCGCGAGGCAGGGAGCACAGTGGGAGAAGCAGGGAGCACAGTTGGGGGGGCAGGGAGCACAGTCGGGAGCAGGGAGCACAGTCGGGAGGCAGGGAGCTCAGTCGGGGAGGCAGGGAGCACAGTCGGGAGGCAGGGAGCACAGTGGGAGAAGCAGGGAGCACAGTCGGGGGGCAGGGAGCACAGTCGGGGAGGCAGGGAGCACACTCGCGAGGCAGGGAGCACAGTGGGAGAAGCAGGGAGCACAGTTGGGGGGGCAGGGAGCACAGTCGGGAGCAGGGAGCACAGTCGGGAGGCAGGGAGCTCAGTCGGGGGGCAGGGAGCTCAGTCGGGGGGCAGGGAGCACAGTCGGGGAGGCAGGGAGCACAGTGGGAGAAGCAGGGAGCACAGTTGTGGGGCAGGGAGCACAGTCGGGAGCAGGGAGCACAGTCGGGGAGGCAGGGAGCACAGTGGGAGAAGCAGGAAGCACAGTCGGGGGGGCAGGGAGCACAGTCGGGGGGCAGGGAGCACAGTCGGGGAGGCAGGGAGCACACTCGCGAGGCAGGGAGCACAGTGGGAGAAGCAGGGAGCACAGTTGGGGGGCAGGGAGCACAGTCGGGAGCAGGGAGCACAGTCGGGAGGCAGGGAGCACAGTCGGGGGGCAGGGAGCTCAGTCAGAGAGGCAGGGAGCACAGTCAGGAGGCAGGGTGAACAGTCGGGGGCAGGGAGCACATCTGGGGGTCAGGGAGCACAGTCGGGGGGTCAGGGAGCACGGTCAGACATAGCCAGATGGTGTGGAATGAGAAGGGTCATCTGCGTGCATTGGGGAGTACAGCCGCAGCGGGGACAGAGGTAGGAAGCTTCCAGGTATGTTTCTGAGGAAGAACTGACCAGACTTTACTCACAGGGACAGATGAGGAAGAGAGGGCTTCTTTGGTGGCCCCTGGGCTTGGCGGACTTGGGGGGTGGGAGGTGCTGTGCCCCTGAGCAGGAAAAGCAGGGGATGACAGACAGGAAGGGGATGGGGGAGGGGAGGAGGGTGGGGGAGCACAGACACCAGACACCACCGCGGGGGACCCGTGGGAGGTTGTACTGAGGAGTCTGCAACTCCAGGTACAGGGTCGGGGTAGAGACCACAGTGCAGTGTCACCGTCACTTGGATTTAATGGAAAAGGCTGTGAGACCCCCTCCCAGGGAGCAAGTGCAGAGAGAGTGTAGGGCCAGGGACACAGCCCTCGGGCACCCACCAAGCAAGGGGAAGGGAGGAGCCCACAGTGGTCACAGGCAGAGGCTGTCCCCGGGGTGGTCCTGGTAGGGCAGACTGGGCAGCAGGGGAGTTTGCAGGCTCTGGGACAGGAGCAGGCTCCGTGTGGAGGTGGGGACGGCAGTCAGATCCTGACCGCTTAACCATGTGTGTGCCACATCAGGCAAAGAGCCCACCTTCTGCAGGTTCTGCCCTGTGGAGGGGCACAGAAATGGGGTGGTATCCAAAGGGATTGTAAATAAGTGACATTCTGACCAAGCTGGGAACTGTCCTGCAGAGGAGACACGGAAAAGGCAGCAAAGAGCTCAAGACCGGGAGCCGGGGATTTGACAAGAAAGAAGGGTTGGGGGCACCTGGGTGGCTCAGCCAGTTAAGCTAGGACTCTTTGTTTTGGCTCAGGTCATGATCTCAGGGTCATGAGATCGAGCCCCATGTCGGGCTCCACATTCAGTGGGGAGTCTGCTTCAGATTCTCTTCCTCTGCCCCTCCCCCCATCTCCGTTCTTGCTCTCCGTCTCTCAAAACAACAACAACAAGAACAAAAAACAGATAGAAGACATGAACAGACATTTCTCCAAAGAAGACATCCAGACGGCCAACAGACACATGAAAAGATGCTCCACATCACTGATCATCAGGGAAATGCAAATCAAAACCACAATGAGATACCACCTCACCCCAGTCAGAATGGCTAAAATCAACAACACAAGAAACAACAGGTGATGGCGAGGATGTGGAGAAAGGGGACCCCCATGCCCTGTTGGTGGGAATGCAAACTGGTGCACCACTTTGGCAAACAGTATGGAGGGTCCTCAAAAAGTTATAAATAGAACTACAATATGATCTAGTAATTCTACTACTGGGCATTTACCCAAAGGACACAAACATACAGATTCGAAGGGGTACATGCACCCCAATGTTTATAGCAGCATTATCAACAACAGCCAAACTATGGAAACAGCCCAGTGTCCACTGACTGAAGAACGGATAACAAAGACGTGCTATATATATATATACAATGGAGTATTATTCCACCACCAAAAAAGAATGAAATCTTGCCATTTGCAATGACGTGGATGGAAGTAGAGAGTATTATGCTAAGCGAAATGAGTAGGTCAGAGAAAGACAATTACCATATGATTTCACTCATATGTGGAATTAAGAAACAAAGGAGCAAAGGAAAAAAAGAGAGAGAAACCAAGAAACAGACAGTTACCTCTAGAGAACACGCTGCTGGTCACCAGAGGGGAGGTGGGTGGGGGATGGGGAAACGGGTGATGGGGAGGAAGGAGCGCACCTGTCGTGATGAGCACGGGGTGATGTAGGGAAGTGTTGACTCACAATATTGTACAGCTGAGACTAAGATTACACTGCATGTTAACTGACTGGAATTTAAATAAAAACTTGAAAACAAAGAAAGCAGCAGGGAGCTGGAAAACCCAGTACCTCGATTAAGAACAGAGAGCGGTCCCCTTACCGGAAGTATCTTTAGCACGGATGGGACTGTCAGGATCCATTTCTACGTTGGGGTTTCTAATTTCTGTATTAGGGAAGAAGTCCCTCCCCCGTGATTTGGGACGGGAGATGCTGTTCATGTGAATTCTCAGGGCAAGTCTCGGTTCTAATTTAAGTGTCAAAACGTAACCCTGCACTGTAGGTTCTTTGAGAACTGATCGAGTCCTCCCAATTAGGCCAAAAAAAAAAAAAAAAAAGAGGCAGGAAAATAGACTTGGAAAGAAACAGCACTCACCTTATGAGGGAAGCGTAGGAGGTCCCTTAACATGAGAACAGAATCGCTCATTGCTTCCTGACCGGGAGAAACAAGCAAACACACAGGAGGGACAAGTTAGTCATGGGTTTCTGAGCTAAGAGACGGGGGAGGGACCATCCCCTTGACCTGCCTCCTGGGGCCCCGTGTCCCCTGGGTGTCCGCTGGACACCAGCCTCCCGTAGCCCAGCAGGAGTGTGACCGGAGGGGAGGGAGGAGGAAGACAGAGCTCAGGGAAATTCTGGAAAAGGGTGGGAGGTGTCCTGGAGGGAGAAACAGCATGAGTTGGGTATCAAGGTGGCAGAGACAGGAGGCCTGCGCTGAGATGCGAGCGCCCTTTAGTGGCGATGGGGGGGCAGGAGGCGCAGGCGCCAGTGACCCAGGACGGCGGCATTTGAATGCCACATGATCATTTCCTTCGAAGCCGCACGTCATCGTACGTTGAACTCCGTCATCTCGCTGCTGGCAAGGTAAAGGCAGGTGGGATTCGCATCACTTTACTTAGAGAAACGTGAGCACAATGATCTGCATGCTATTGCTGCACACGGTGTCTGTTTTACGAACCAACAGCATTTGTTTGTGCAAGTATGAGCTGACGAGAGAGGCCTCGCCGGCTGGCCCTGAGCACCCCATTTCTTCACTGTGTATAGTAAGCAAGGCGAGCCAGCCATCCACGCAGATGCCGACCTCCAGGCACCGGGCCCTCCCCAGCCCGCACCTGATCTGCGAAAGGCAGTCTGCACACAGAAGAAATCAGCGCATCCTGTATTCGTGACCACTGGCCACACGAGGGACTTCTGTCCTCTGCAGCCCAACGAGTCAGGACCCTGGTCATCACGGTGATGTAGTTCCTGACCTCTGTGTAACTGCCCATCAGCTGAAGGGTGGAGAGGTGCTTCAGGCTGGAGTTATAGCTGAAGGAAATCGAAGAGTCACCAGGATTGCTCCAACCCACGGCGAAACTTTCCAGCCTGCCTACCAGCAGAGGAGGGGTACTTGCTAGGGAGAGCTCCGTGGGTGGGTCAGGACAGACAGGGGACGGTCTGTGCAAGAGTAACTCGGAAAAGACGCAGTGAAGCAGAACATCAGAATTCCATAAAACCCTTGATCAGAACTGAGACGGGCAGAGCCGCCAAGCAGGATGACAGAGACACTTCATGGCAAGCAAGGGAGGACAGGGCTGATCTAGACAAAGACACCACTGTGGCCACAGCGGGCTGGAGGTTCGCAAGGATCCGAACTCACAACCACAGCACGGGGCACGCTCAGACCGTACTTGAACACTATGTCATGATCACAGACCACGCACCATGGCCAAGTGGGGCTTCTGCCAGGAATGCAAGAGGAACTCCAGTATGAAAATCAGTCAAGGTAATTACCATAGTAATGGACAAAACCCACGTAATCATCTCAATAGATCCAGCAAAGCACTGACAAAATCCAATACCCTTTCATGATAGAAATAGCCCAAATCTAGGAATACAAGCGAACCTCTTCAACCTCAAGAAATACATCCACGGAGAACCTACAGCTAACATTACCCTCCGTGGTGAAAGACAGAATGCTTCCTGGCCTAGACTGGAAGCAAAACCAGGATATGCACGCTTCCACCTCTACTCACCAGTGAACTGGAAGAGTCTCACCAGGGCAATTAAGTCAGAAAAAAAAAAGTTATCCAGGTTGGAAAGGAAGGAGTAAAACTCTTTTGTAGATGGCATGCTCTTCCACATTGAAAAACCCCATAGAATGCACTAAGAAGCTAATAGAACAAATAAATGAGGTTAGCAAGGCTGCAGGTTACAAGACCAATCGTATAAACATCAATTGTATATGTACACACTAGCAATAAGAATCCACAAACAGAATTTAAGCAAACAGCTCGATTTACAATAGCATTAAGAAGAATAAAATGCTTATAGTTAGACTTAACTGAAGAATTCAATACCTGTACCCTGGAAACTAGAAAACACTGCTGAAAGAAATTAAAATCTAAATAAAGGGAAAACTTTGTTCATAGATCAGTAGACTTCATATTCTCAAGATGACGATATTCTCAAAGTGATCGACAGACTCAGTGCAATCCCTACCACAATCCCAGGGGGCTTTTTGGCGAAATTGACAGAATAATAACCAGGAGATCCAGAATAACAAAATAGTCTTGAAAAAAAAGAACAAAGTTAGTGGGTTCATGGTTCCCAATTTCAAATTTTACTACAAAGCTACAGTAATTAAGACAGTGTGGCAGAGACAGGAGGTGGAATTGAGACTCCACAGCATTTATGGTCAACTGACTTTTGACAAAGGGACTAGGATAATTTATTGGGGAAAGACTGACCTTTTCAACACACAGTGCTGGAAGAACTGGACAGCTCCCTATGGAAAAATGACCGTGGAGCCTTTCCTCACCACACACACACACACGTTAGCCCAAAGCGGATCACAGAGCTCAGTGGGAGAGCAAAAACTAGAACTCTCCTAGAAGAAAACACAGCAGTAAATCCTATGGCTATACCACGCAATAAAAGAGAAACCAGCATGTGGGACTTCATCAAAATCGCACACTTCCATGCTTCAAAGGACACCACGTGGAAGAGAAAATACAAGCCACGGGCTGGAGAGAAGTATTTGCAAATCAGGTCTCTGACAAGGGACGTGCTTCCAGAATACGTGAAGAGCTCCCACATCTTCATCAGAAAAAGACAACCCAATTTTTAAACAAACTACATGAGCAGACATTTCTCCAAGCGAGATGGGCAAGCCCATGAAAAGGTGCTCTCCACCACTAGTCATGAGGGAAATGCACGTTTCTGAGGCCCAGCGCACACACCATTTCAGCGGCACTGGGATGGCTAGAGTGGGAAAGAGAGGTGTCAGCAGTGTGGTGTAGACGGAGCCTCGTGGGAATGGTGCAGCCACTCCGGAAAGCAGGCTGGCTGCTTCCCCCACATGATACGCACGGGGTGACCCTATGAGCCAGCAGCACCCTTAGGTATCTACCCAAGAACAACGAAAACACAGGTCCACAGCTCTGTTCCTAACAGTCCAAAGTGGAAACACATCATCCGTCCGCCCGCTGAGGAAGGGACAAACAGCTCGTAGCGGATCCACAACAGAACATCACAGGAGGGAACGGGGTTGTGATGGTGCCACGACACGGAAGGACCTCAAAGACGCCCCAGCTATTGAGAGGGGCCGGCACAAAGGAGCACGCAGGCTGTGACCCTGTTTGCAGAGATGTCCAGCACCGGCCAATCTGTGGACGGGAGGTGGGCTAGCGGCCGTCTGGGGCTGTGGGGGAAGGAAAGTGACCGCTAACGAGTCACGGGTTTAGGGGGACAATGGAAATGCTCCAACACTAGGGCTCAGCATGCGGGTCTGTAAGCACCCTGAAGCCAAGGGACCAATGGCACGCAGATGGCAGCCCAGCTCGGCCTGTGCTTCGCAGGCCCTGACGCACCTGCGCGCACTCCGCGCAGATCGGAGTTAGGACTGCAGAACCCTAGCTGTTTCTTTTGTTCACCCCGAGAAGATGGGTCCCCCCACCTGTGGCTGGCCTGGCGGAGACCCCGCTCCCGAGGAGACGCAGGCATGCATGCGTGAGGGTGTCTCCGTGCGGCTCACTCACGTGTCCTCGTCCAGGCAGAGATTCCCGTGGAATCGGGGCCGCACGGTCACCGTCACGGCGCACGGTGGCACCCGGGAGCCCGCGCCGTCTGTGATCTCAGTGGACACCGTGACTGGAAGGGAACATGGCGGAGGAGGGTCACGGTGGAGATCAAGCCCTCAGGAACCAGAATCTCTGCGGGCGGACCTAAGGGCCCACGGTGGTGACGTCGCAACACAGCTAGGCATGGGCTCTGAGCGCGAGGCCGCCCCATCCTTGTGGCGAGGCCAGCGTTCCAGCATCAAGTGCCACATAGCAGTGCTGGGCACTGAGCGCCGGAGAGCCGGGGACACGGGAGCGGTCGCGCGGATGCAGCAGAAGGGGCCGCCACGGGCCACGGGGGCCAGGAAGTGCTCCGCTCACTCGCTCGCTCGTCCCACCTGCAGGCCCCGGGAGCCAGTGGCGGCAGGACCCCACCAGTGAACGGGAAACCGGGGCAGTGGGAAACCCCGAGAATGAAACCCACGCTCAGCAACGGAGGCTCAAGGGTTGGAGTAACATTTTAAGCAGCTCTTCAGTGATGTCCAGAAACAGGGCAGGTACCAGGAGCGTGGCAGTAAACAGCTTTGCTGGGGCCTCAGGATGCAGGCCCGGGGTTTGTGGGGCAGAGACGTGCAGATGATGCTGCCCAGGGAGGCCGCAGGGCCGGCCGCAAGAACATGCAGAAGGCAGACCTGAAGCGTGCCGGGGGCGTGAAAGCATTCTCAACCCGAAACACAGAGCCAAGGACTTGGGACGTAATTTTGAAGGTCGGTGCTTCTCCCGAAGTGGCCCCTGGACACCGGGCCACCCAATCACCACTACAAACAAATGCCAGGCTCCACCTGCTCCTTCCAGGGTTCTGAGCCAGTAGGTGAGGGTGGGCCCCCTTTCCAGCTGTGAGACAGCTACAGTTGAGCAAGTACGGCGGGGATTCCACCGCAGGTAACACGGGTCCTCCGGCTGGACGCAAAGAGTGCAGAACGCCAGCAGAGTTCAGGCCAGACTCCAACCTGACACCGAGTCCGTGGGGAACCTTCTCGCACGAGACAGGACAGGATAGGATCTGGTATCTGCCGCACTGATTTATTCTGCTTGTGTTCATCCTCGTATGAATCTGGAAGTCAGATACTCGTAGGCGTCGATCATCACGGCGTTGACCATTGCAACACCTCGTGCACACCCTGGGAATGGCCTGGGTGACATCACTCAGCCTGACACCGCTCGGTGCCCGTGGCCTGAAATTTGGGTCTACAGATTCACCTTAAGGAACCCTCTCGTCCAACACGGAGCTGAGGCCCTGCCCCCAACGTCCTATGTGGGCGTCTGGCCAGCCCTGCGGTCTGCAGGCCCCTGCGGACAGGGTCCCACACTACCCTGCAGGCGGGCGTCTGGGGAGGGGCCCTGCCGGGCTTCATACCCAACACCAGCAAGTGGGGGGCTTGGCGGGGTGGGGGTGAGCATCCATTTGGAGGAAAATTTCCAGGAGACAGAGGGCATGCGCGGTTTCGCTGTGGAGGAATTTATGACGCAGGCCCATGAAAACCACCTCCGTCCGTCCGTCTGTCCAACCAACGCGCACCGTGCTCAGTGACACACGGGGGACGTGCCCATCCTCACCGATGACAGTGTGCGGCTCGGACGCCCTTGCCCCTTGTCTCTGAGCTGCACCCAGGAGCAGGTGCACGTGCGTCTCACTGGGGGTCAGCCAAGGTTTCATGAAAAAGGAACCTTTCTTGCTGGGCTTCGAGGAGAGGAGAGGTTTAAGGAAACCGAGTGGATGAGTGAGTTCAGACCTCAGGCGGAAATAAGCTCACCTGGCCAGTTCAAAGAAAGTTCTAGATCGGCAACTCCAAGTTGCCTGTCCCTCGGAACCACCCAGCCCCTGAGCCTTATTCAACGGGAGTGGGTTCCACAGATGAGGCCACTTTCCTGAACGGCTGTGTCTCTAACAGCTCAGGGCGGGCAGGCTCCCGGGGTCCGGGAAGTGTCAGGACGGCAGAGCTGAGTTTGTTCTGAGAACAACACATACTAACCCTGCACCCCTTTACCCTGGCCTTTTCTTCATGGTGGGAGCCCCCTGATTTGGTGCTGTTGACAACCAATGCAGGATTCACCAGATACCACAAACTTCATTAGTGAATAAGGGACAGGTCGCTCTCAAACATTTAATTCATAAATACAGGATGTGCTTTGGCATTTTGGCATTTACATTATGTTTCAGTTGTAATTTAAGATCTTGGCCGTTAAGCATCTGCCTTCGGCTCAGCTCCTGGGATCGAGCCCCGCACTGAGCTCCCTGCTCAGCAGGAAGCCTGCTTCTCCTTCTCCCTCTACGCCTACCCCCTGCTCATGTGCTCTCTCTCTCAAATAAATATAAATCTTTTAAAAATTTTTTTTAGAAGTAGGTAAGCCACCTAATCTAAAAAGCATGAGACTTTTTAAGATAAAGAAATACGAATTTTATTTTCTAGATACACAGTTTTAACATTTTCTTGTTTTTGGAAGCCAGGGGGAAAGGTTTAGAACCGTAAGTGAGCACAGCCAGCCACCCAAAAAAGTCACGGCTTGACTTACTTTTATAATCGTCCAAGGGCTCGCCGGCTGGCAGCACGGAATAATACTGGCTGTCTCTCCCGTGGTACAGAGGGCGTTTGGAGGCATTTCCTATCTGATAACTAAATTCGTAATGGAAGTCCTAGGATCCGTTCCATGTGGAGGAAAGAACAGTGTATAGATGAATAAACTGGGAATTACATCCCCAATAAATCCACATCCCTGCATCCTTCACTCCATCCGAGAGCGTCGTATACAGACAGGCAGGGGCGGGTACTGACATCCCGTCCCCGAATGCGCATGCATGTGGCGTGACCTCTCCCCTCCAGGGCCCCTCTCCTACAGCCACGAGGACCCCGCACCGTGGCTGCATCTGTCAGTCGGGGTTGAGTGCTCTCCCAGCCACAGAGACACAGATCCCTGGGCCTCCTTGGGGTGAAGGGGATACAACAGACTGGGGATTGAGGAGGAGGCGCTCATGTGAATCGCTCTTGGTGTCAGAATAGGGCATTGGAAGAGAGAGAAAGCAAAAAACAGACTCTTCACTACAAGGAACACAGTGAGGGTCACCAGAGGGGAGGGGTGTGGAGATGGGGGAAACAGGTGATGGGGATGGAGTGCACCTGTCGTGATGAGCACGGGGTGATGTAGGGAAGTGCTGAATCTCTGTACTGTGCACCTGAGACTAATACTGCACTGTATGTGAACTACACTGGAATTAAAATTAAAACTTAATAACAGGGATGCCTGGGTGGCTCAGTCGGTGAAGTGTCTGCCTTTGGCTCAGGTCATGATCCCGGGATCCTGGATCGAGCCCCGTGTCGGGGGTCCCTGCTCAGCGGAGAGTCTGCTTCTGCCTCTCCCACTCCCCCTGCTTGTGCTCTCTCTCTCAAATGAATAAATAAAACCTTAAAAAATAAATAAAATGTAATAATAAAAAAAAGAGCAGGGCATGTGGGGCCTGAAGGAGGCCAGGATCTGACCCTCCAGGGACGCACGTGGGTTTCAGAGAGAAGGAGCAAGATCAGGACAGGAGTGCGGCGGTGTGTCCCTGAAAGGGTGGGGAGCAATGTCACGGCACTCTTGCCGCCAAACCCCGGGATGAAGCTTCGTGTCCCACGGCATCTCCCCAGACTGCTGGCCACCCCTTGAGGGCGGCCTCTGACCCCAGCCTCTGGGACAGACTCGGGGTGGCCAAGCGTACCGGTCTCCCCGACATGCAGAAGACGCTGAAGACGGTGTGAGCCTCGAGGCCACGATGTGGCTGCACCTGGCAGGCCACGTCCCGCGGAGCCGGATTGAGCGTCACGTACAGCTGAGCTCTCCCCAGTAAGCGGTGCGGGGAAGCTACAGACAGGAGCACAAGGATTAAAACCCACGCTAGAGAACGACAGCAGCATGATTACGTCTCCACAGCACACCCCGGGCGGTTGCCAGGGTGTGGAGCCGGTCATCCATGCGACTCGCCCTCCGCGGGATTCTGGAGGGTGCAGGACGTGGGCACGCGGCCAAGGAGCCCATCACAAGGTCAAGTCAAAGAGAAGGGGGTGGCTGCTCCATGGCCCGGCCCAGTGTGTGCAGGAACCCCGGGGGGCGAGTGCTGCTGCTGGGGGCAGGCGGCACGGGGAGATGAGTGGGGACATGCAGGGACACGCGGGGACACCCCGGGCCTCCCGCGCAGAGGCTGAGTCTCCCCCACCTGGAAGGAGCGTGACCTGCCTGAGAAAATGGCCCCAGTCTCGTCACTTGGACGAATAGCGGCAACGGCAGGGAGGGCCAAAGGTTTGCTTTGCCGTGTTTGTGAAAGCAAAAGCAGGGCTGTCTCTCTCACGCCCAACACGGGGGCCCGGGGCTCCGTCTCTGAGCGCACCGCGGACGGGCGGACGGACGTTCGCAGAGCCGTCAGCAGACACAGGGGAAAGGAGAACAAGACAACAGAGCTCGGGGACCCCACGGGCCCTACTGAGGGGTTTCCCACGGACATCGGCCTCGTGCTTCTCGTGAGAGGAAGGTGACGTGGGAGACAAGCCTAGAAATGCACCAGGGGTTTCAAGTAGCCCAAACATGTGGACTCTGACCCCAACCCTCTGCGCTTATGAACTGTCGGATTGTCTGCGCTTGTCATATGGAACTAAAAACCGCCAGAAATGGGGCAGAAGGTCCAAGACTGCCCCAAAAGAAGATGTGATTAAGTCATGGAAAGGCCAGAAGTGGGGCGGAGCAGGGTGCCAGGTCAACGTGCAGCTGATGTACACGGACCCCACAAACACCTCCACCTCCCTGGGTTTCACATATGCGTCGGGATTATCAACCAACTCAGGGAAAGAATCAACATACACGGCTGTCTTGCAGAAATCAAATAAACACACACCCCGTTCCGGGTTTTTTTAAAGGCCAACATCTCAGCCTTTACCGTGACCTGAACACCCACCTGATCCCATAAGGATCAGAAACACAGGAGTAGGTAAGAATGAGCAGTGCGGGACGGTGGGGACGGAGGGAGGGTCAGGACGCTCTGGAACAAGAGCCCGGGAGGTCAGAAGCGGCTGCAATTTCCAGAAAAAATCTGCATATAATGAAAACTCTCATCCTCCCACGCCCCAGGTCCAGCTGAGCGTGTAACGTACCCACAGAGGCTTGCAGGACGTATGTGTCCCCAGGGCTCAGTGAGAATGGCTTTATCGTCACCGTGTGTCCCGTGATACCTGAGGAGAAGGGGCCACAGGGAGAGGGCCATCAGCGGGCTCTGCAGGGCAGGGGGCAGACAGACCCCTCCCGTGCTGGCTTCCCCCCTACTCCCATGGAGCAGGCTTGTCCCTACCTGCAAATGCCCCCAGATGTTTGCCACCCACCCTCTATACGGAGCTGGAGGCTCCCCTCCAGCCTCCCCTGCCTGAGGGCAGCGACCCTGAGTCCTGGGTCACACTTGGCTCCCAACAAGAGAACGCTGGTGGGAGCTCACGCTGTACCCTTCGTGGGGGCTTCCGTGTCCAACCTGGCTCGCTGACACATTGACCTTGTCCATGAGGCATGATTAAGGCATTTCAAAGCGAGTTTTTCGTCTTGAAGACTGTGAACCATTTCTTAAATCTGGGTGTGACTGTTGCCCACTGGTGACCGGGTCCCCTCCTTAGCGGGCAGAGGCTGGCCCCGAAATGCAGGCTGGTGGTCTCAATAGGGAAACTGTCATTTCCCGAAATGGGGGCCGGGGGTGGGGGAAGGGGGAGGAGGCAGCCTTCTGACGACAGGGGAGGCCCAGAGCCTCCACCAGGTGTGTCTGCGGATGTGGCCCCTGGCGGGCTTCAGAGGCACATTCTGCCTTTGATAAGGAGCCTCTGCCTGCGTCCCCGGAGGGAAACGCACAAGCAGAAAAGGCACGATGACCCCAAGGACTTCTCTACTGAAAGGAAATGTTGCAGAAGAAACAGAGGGGCTGGTCCCCAAACCCTTGTGAACCGGCTGCAAACCCCCGGATCTGAAGAGAGGGCTCCTACCAGAGGAGGTGTAGCCGTGGAAGCGAGCGCGGCCGACCGGGGACTTGGGCCAGTCCACCGCGAGGGTGGGCCTGGCAGCGGCCAGGGGGGCCGAGGGGCCCAGCAGGTTGTCCCCGTCCCCGCGGCCCCCGTCAGCACTCGAACTCGGGCCTGCTCCCGGGAGGCTGGCATCGTCCCCTGGGAAGACAAGGCAAGCCAACACAGGGTCAGGGAGTAAGTGCCAATGATCTTCTGAAATATTAAGTCATAACTGCGCCAGTGGCTGGACGTGTCATATCAAAATATTGTCTTCAGCAACCACCCCCGCTCCAGAGCTGTCCTTTGTCACCGCGCGGTGGGTGGTGCGATGGCCTCTCCCCTCCTGCCCATCCTCAATTGCTCAGCAAATACCCTGCTCGCTGAGCCCGGGAGCTGGTCCAGGGCAGATCCGCTCAGCAGCGTGACAGGGGCCCGGCTGCCAGGGCCCAGCAGAGCAAGTCAGCCCAGCAAACCAGACGACGCTGGCAGCCTCCAGACTAGGGAGCCAGCTGACCGTGAGCGAAGACAGTCACAGCAGGGCATGAGGAGGGGTGGAGGGCAGGGGCTGGCTTAGAGCCAGTGGGCCGTGGGCCATGGGCGGGGGGGTCCCCTGGGGGGCGAGGTGCAGACAGAGGCCAGAACGGGCTCTGGAGTGAACACTGGAGAGCGGTTGGAGATGTGGCTGGAGGGGGTGGGAAAGAGGGAAACCAGACGGGAGAAAGTGCCAAAAATCCGCCCAGGACGGGCCTGGAGGCAGGGGGGTCTGGGAGTGCCCTGAAAGCAGCCGGGGCTGTCTGTCTAGGCAGCAGGAAGGGAGCAGAGACAGAGGAAGGGCTCCTGCGTGGTCCAGCACGCAGCACGTCGGGACACCGCAGAGGGCAAATTGACTCCACACTCAGAGTCACGGATAGAAGATGCAGGGAGAACGTGACCCCCCCCATTCTGAGTCAGTCACCACCAGGCAATTTTATTTATATAGTGTTTTCTCTTCATTCGGTGTTATTTACTAGGTGCCCGCCGTGAGCGTGGAGCCAACCCCTTACACGTGAGTGTGGTCACAGGAGGGAGCACAGACAGGCTGAAGAAACCACAGAGGCCGGAGAGGAGGATGCCGGCGAAAACAGAGCAGATCCCATGGTCAAATCCTCCATGACCGTCCAGCCCCTCTGTCCACGGATACATCGTCCACGGACCGTCCAGCTCCTCTATCCATGGATACATTGTCCATAGACCGTCCAGCCCCTCTGTCAATGGATACGTCGTCCACGGACCGTCCAGCTCCTCTGTCCACAGATACGTCATCCACAGACCATCCAGCCCCTCTGTCCACGGATACGTCCTCCACAGACCGTCCAGCCCCTCTGTCCGCAGATACGTCGTCCACGGACCGTCCAGCCCCCCCCGTCCACAGATACGTCATCCACGGACCGTCCAGCACCTCTGTCCATGGATACATTGTCCATGGACCGTCCAGCACCTCTGTCCACAGATACATCATCCACCAACCACGCATCTGTCCATTCGAGGACACGCTCGCTGTGCGCCAGGGTTCCAGGCACCATGATCGTCTGGGATGGGGGTCCACATTTGCCCTGGACGTGTCCTTGGAGAGCTAGAGCCAGACAGCCGGGGAAAGAGCCACGAGCACCACGTGCACCTGCTTCAAGTAGGACAAGTACGCTGGGCTATCGTAGGATCGGAGGGGGTACAAGGCAGGAAGAAGGGGACAGAGGGAGAAACAGAAGCCGACCGGACAGGAGGCAGCGCTCCACGGCAACATCCCGGAAAGGGCGCTAAGGGGGTGTTTTCTGCATCACTCACTCACGGACCAGCAGTGCCTGCCTGCGGGCCTGGGGCTACCTGGGTTTCTGAAGCACAGGGGACCTGGAGTGCAGCAGTGGGTGAGCTAGAAGATGCGGGTCAGATGGTGCCCTGCGTCTCTGGGAGCTCGTGATGCGGGGGAGCACAGGGGCAATTCCCGATTTCAGAGGCTTCGGAGATGGGACTGGCGCGGGGACGTGGGGAGCCCCCATCACAGACTCACAGTCGGCGGGCTGTCTCCCTCTGGACGGCATGGCTTCCTGGATATCGCTGTAATAGGCTTCAAAATCTACACAGGAGGAGAAAACCATGACATGTCATTTAAAGCCACAGACTCCCCTGAAGTCCATACGACGCTCCTGACAGCGCATGCGGGCTGCCCGGGTCCGAGTGTTGAGCCCCAGCCGGCTCTGCACATGTCACCCCGTCACCGTGACAGTGGAGGAGGCCGTGTCTGGGTGTGCGGCTTCCGCGGGATAAGCCAGCCGCTGGGCGCAGGGCCCCGCGCTCTCCAAGCTCCCACTGCCCCATCAGAGAGCCTCGCGCTCCTTCCTCTCAGGACGGAAGTGGACACAAGCGTGTCCTGCTGCAGACGTCACAGCCCCGTCCCCGCAGCCGGCCGCTCCGGCGGCTGCCCTGAGCCCCGGGGCCCCGGCGCGGGGTGGCATCTGCCAGGCCGCAGCCCAGGGAAAGCATAGCCTCGATGGCGTCACTGGGGAGGGACAATAAGGGATGGGCGGATTCTGGGCCAGAACTTTGCTCCCTGACAACGAGCTCCTCCCTCGACTTCTGAGGCACAGAAACAGTGTCTGGGCAGCCTGAAAACCGGGGGTAAAGTGAAGGGACTGGTGGCTGGGAAGGAGGCCGTGTGCACGGACGGCTGTCAGAGCCTGGACAGGGTTTGCAGTTAGGGAGGAAGGCCCTGAGACCCTAGGAGCATCCCACAAGCCGAGCGGACGTGACAGGACAGCGGCACTTACCAGAGGGGGAGGGGCACGGGCTCCCAGGGGGGCTGGGCCCCGGGGACCCCTGGTCACCCGCAGCAGGGACCCGGTGCCGGCCGACCGCGGGCCCCGAGGACGGTTTCCCCGTGGCCAAGAGGACCAGCTGGCCCTGGGTCTGTGGTGACGGCTCCCGTGAAGATGGTGTGCCCACTGCGTGCAGCCCCAGCCAGCTCGGCTCCGTGGGCGGTGCGCTGGACTCTGGCAGCTTCGAAACGGCCCCCAGTCCGGCGGCGCCCAGCAGCCCCACTGTTCTACAAAAGGGAACTTGAACAAACATGGGACAGGGTGAGATGTTCGGACCAGAAAAACTAGGTGTTTTATTTTATTTATTTATTTTTAAAGATTTTATTTATTTATTTGAGAGAGAGTGAGAGAGAGCACAAGAGGAGAGAGGGTCAGAGGGAGAAGCAGACCCCCCGCCGAGCAGGGAGCCTGACGCGGGACTCGATCCCAGGACTCCAGGATCATGACCTGAGCCGAAGGCAGTCGCCCAACCAACTGAGCCACCCGGGCGCCCAAAAACCATGTGGTTTAAAAAGGTTTATGGGGGGGCGCCTGGGTGGCTCAGTTGGCTAAGCGTCTGACTGCTGGTTTCAGCTCAGGTCATGATCCTGGGGTCCTGGGATTGAGTAACACGTCGGGCTCCACACTCAGTGGAAAGCCAGCTTCTCCCCCTCCCTCTGCTGCTCCCCCTGCTTGTGCTCTCCATTTCTCTCTCTCTCAAATAAATAAAATCTTTTAAAAATAATAATAAATAAACAAAAAGGTCTACGATTACATCAGCATCCGTTTTAACAAACGTGATCCACATCTGAGAAGGACATGTCCGAGAAAATGCCCGGGGCGGGGCACAGTTCTCCCCCAGAGGCAGGCAGACCACCCCCCGGGAAGCTGGAGGGTGGATGTTGTAGCTCCCCTGGGGTCTGCTCACCTCGGGCTCCCCCTGCACATGCACGCCTGGCACGGTGATTCATGCCTATTCTAGACACACTCTGGGCACGTGGGGCTCCTAACCCCCACTCACCTGTCCACGTCTCGTGCAACAACTCTAAAGAGCGCTGGTATAATTTACGAGAAAGGATGAACGACAAAGAGAAAATTTTTACGGATGTAACACAAGGACATCTTGCTAGAGTGAGCTTGTCCTCACTGCCATCACAGAGCCAGATTCTGTGACATTAAGGGGAGACACATGGTCTTTGGATAGTCACTGGCTTGGCTGCAAGTTTAACCACCGGGTGTTCATGCCGGTTCCTCCCATGCATTCCCCACCAGCTTTGCTTCTGGAAAACCCCATTATGTCAGGAATGTGGGAATGGCTCCCCTGCAAAGAAGGGCACAAAAAAAATGGCCACATGTGTTCCTGTCCCCCTCGCTGTGAGGTCAGCTGCACTCAGAGCCCTTGTATGGAAGCTCTGTGCGGCCCCGTGGAACGGATTCAGAATAAGTAAGTCTGGGTCTCTGAGGGCTGGGCACACACTTCTGTCCCAGGAACCAGCTGGACCCAGCTTGGAAACCAAAGCTCCTCTGTCTGCCATTCACAATCATCTCTCTTATCACAGATGCCACCAATGAGAACCGCTTTCCCTCCTGGTTCGCACCCAGGCCACGTCCCACCCCAGAGCTGGCACGTTCTCACACGTGATCTCATGTCACGTGGCCACCGCCCTGCCTTTCTTGGGTGGGACCCCCATCCACCCAAGAAAACCACGTCTCGGAGAAGTGCCTGAAGTCTCGGGTTGCAGAGCCGGGGCGAGGAGTGGCCCCAAGGACAGCAGGAGCCGTGAGGGACAGAGGCGAGTCCTGGGTCCGGGCTCGTGTGCAGGAGGCTGAGCTGCAGCATCCAGGCATCTCCATCCCCGTGAGCATAAATGAGAGGGGTTGGGGGTGTGATGGGCACGACTAGGGACACTGGTCCAGATGAGTCAGAGTCTGCACATTTTCAGCAATCTCCGAATACCCGAGTCCTCCCCTGGGTTAACAAAATGAAGGCGGCTATGACCTTACCTTCCATTTGGGTCCTTTCTGTCCCGTTGACCAGGAAGAGGTCCCAGGAGTAGGACAGATGGGGCCCTTCACCACACTCGTCACACTTGGCTTGAAAAGAAAGCTCCTCGTTCCAGTTAACAAACACGTCCTTAAAGCTGACCCAGGAGATGTGGACGAATCTGCACCATGAAACCAGGTTGGAGATTTTAGGGAGAGCACCAGACTTTCCATTTTCAATTTTTTTTTTTTTACAGTAGGTTCCACACCCAATGTGGGGCTTGACCTCATGACCCCGAGATCAAGAGTCATGTGCTATGTCGACTGAGCCCCCTGGAACCTTGATTCCCCCACTTTTCATACATATCAGGAGCCTTAAAACGTGCAGGTGGCCTGGGTGTGTCTGGACCTTGGAGAGGCGCCCAATCCTGTCTGCTGAGACGGATTTTTCATGGTCTCGAACCTGAACCCCTGGGAGGTGGTCTCCACCAGTCATCGGTCTGACCTCGGTGTCACAGCCTACGTCCTCTCCTTTGTGTTGGTCCTGGCCAGGCACAGCCTTCCAGAACCCACCCCGGTCTCCCCACTTTTAACCCCAAGCCGTTTATACACAACAAGGCGATGGTAACTGCCCAGACCCCTTGCAGGGTCCACGTACGGGAGCAGCCCTGCTCGCCCGGGGCCTTCCAGGCGTCCCGCTCGCCCCCTGGGGGCGGACAGAGCAGCTGTGGCACATTCCAGTCTGCGTCCAGTGTCTGCGCTCAGCAAGGCCCTCACTCGGGTGCTAGCCCGGCCTCCACGTCGCAGGTCCAGTTTGCGGTCAGACCACATCCCCGCTCCCCGCGCCCGGTGTTGCCCCCGCGTCACAACTGGCCCGGCCCCGTGATGCCTTAGCCTCCGTCCAGCCCCGGCCCCCAGCCCCAGAGCAGACCCCTGTCCTGGGGCAGCTGCCGTGACGGAGGGGCGCCTCCTCCCTGGAGCCCCCACGTGTCAGCACTTGCCTGGCGGGCTCTGCCCCGGGGCCAGCGGAGAGCGGGGTCCCCCCACCTCGCTGGTCAGCCCCCCTTCTCCTCAGCAGGCCCCTCAGGTGGCTCCCACGCCTGCCGGGCAGGGCATGGAAGGGCACACCCCTCGGACCCGGCCTGCAGGAAGCGAGGGGCAGGCGGTACCTGAGAGCCGAGTCGGGGCGAGGGGACAGGAACACCTGCGCCGCTGAAGAGTTCCGGCCGGCGCTGGACACGGTCAGTGTCACGAGAAACTGGTCATAGCTGTCGCTGAGAGAGTCCGCAGGGAAGGCCAGGGAGGGAGCCCCAGCGCCCAGGCCGCGTGCAGAGGAGGCAGCGAAGCATGCGTGCCTGGGGCTGCTGGCCGCCGTGCACGTCCAGTGATAGCTGTGGGAGAAGCCAGCGGGGCTGAAGGCACCAGCTTCGGCAGCCTAGTGGCCACCCCCGGCCACTCGTGGGGCTTTCCTGGGGCCCCAGGGGAGCAGCGGGCCGGGGGACACGATGCTTCCCTTACTCTCTGACGGCGGTGGGGTGGGAGCTCCCAACACTGGGGCAGGCCGCCAAGGTTGGGGACCGGGCCCTGCCCCGCCCAGCTCACTGGCTCAGGGCCCTGCTCTGGTCACTTAATCTTCGGGCCCCGCGCATGCCGCCTCCCACCTCCACTGGCATCTCTGCAGCCCCCAAGGAGCATGCTGCCTCTGACTGCAGGAAGGCCGAGTCCTCGGGAGCCGCCCGTCCCGGAGCGCAGGTGGACGGGCCAGGAGATGGGCGCCAGGCACATCCCCTATGCACGGCCTTCTGCCCTGTGACCGTCACCACTGCGCTCAACAGCCAGGAAGCCACCCCAACCCCTGCCTGGAGCGGGTCCTACTCTGGGCGGACACGCCGAGGCCAGCAGCCCCACCAGGAGGCGTGGGGAGGAAGGAGGTGTGGGCTGAGCAGGGGCAGGGACCCCACACGGCACCCCCAGAGTCTACACTGCTGCTCCTGCCTCCAAGTTCATTTCCCTATTTGGACTATAAGCAACCTGAACCCGGGCGCCAGTTCTAAACCTCCCTGTTTCCAGAGCCTGTAGGAGCTTGGTCGGCAAGGGGCCAGTTCAGGCCCTTGCGGGGCGGGGGCAGCCCTCCTCCAGGGCTGGGTGGGAACAGTCCCCGCGCCCAGGGAGCAGACACACACTGAACTCTTGCTCGCGGGCGCCACGCGGGGCTCTCAGGGGAGGGTGCAGAGTGAACAAGACCCCACTGTGTCTCCCGCGGCTGGGGCACGGGAGGTGCGCAGCCAGCCGTGTGCGTTGTCCAGATCACGTGCGTGTGACCAGCGAGTCCAACGGGCCGCCTCCCGCCTCCACCAAAGCCCGCACTCAGGACGCAGCAAATGTCCATGCTCATGGGGTGAAGAGAACAAAGTAGCACCTCTAACTTTTCTGGAATACTGCTTGAGGACCCACTGTGTGCCAGGCACAGCGATATGCCAAGTCACAGCCCTGCGGTCCTGAGCAAACATTCCAGTGGGGACAGAGCACTGATGGTGACCGCAGTACATGAGCAAATATGGGATGTCATGGGGAGAAGGGGCCACGGGAAAAGACACCGCAGAGCCAGGATGGGACTGTCATCGCCGTCAATGGGGTCATCGGAAGCCTCCCTGGGCATGTGATGTCTGAGCGCAGATGGAAGGAGATGGGGTGGTGACAGTAAGGGCTTTAAGAGATTCCGTCCACCGCTCTGTGAAGAACGGCCTGACGGCGGTCGGGACCAGCACGGGGACCAGGGAGGAGATCTCACGGAAGGAAGCCCAAGATGCCACTCCGCCCAGACGGGGCCAATGTGTTTTCCCAACAGACTGGCCGAGAAGTGGGAGAGGAAAAGAGAACTGCTCAAGGTTTTGGCCCGAACGATGGGAAGGATCCTTCTGTCAGCAGAGATGGGAAGGCTGCAGAGATGGTGGGACACCCAGCCTGGAGGCCAAGAAGGATCTGGACGCAGGATGCATGCTCGAGATGACCGGCGCAGGGACGGCGTCCACAGAGGATGTGTGCTCCCAGGCCATGGGCTCTGGATGGCGTCCATGGAGGATCCATGCTTGAGGTGACTATCACATGGATCACGCCCACATCAGGAAACCGGGTGAGGCCACCAGGGAGGGCATGTGGATGGATAAGGGGGCCAAGGCTTGAGCCAGGGACCTCCAACAGTAAGGGATGTGGGACACTTGGGAGATCAAGCCCCCATACACCAAAGCAAGAATTTTAATCACAGCGTAACATGTTTGCCAAGAATTGAATGTGTCCCTCTAAAATGTGGAAACCTAACGCCCAGTGTGACAGTGTGGGGAGGGGGGTCTTGGGAGGGGATTAGGTCGCAAGGGTGGAACCTCAGGGAAGGGACAGACGGGGCTCCTACAGCAGAGCCCCCGAGAGCCCGAGGACACCATGAGAAGAACCAGCTAGGAACCAGGAAGCAGGTCCTCACCAGACACCGATCGGCCAGCCCCTCGATCTGGCCTTCCGGCCTCGAGTCCACAGAAAGCAATGTCCACTGTGGATAAGCTACGCAGGCTGTGGGACTGGACAAGACTTAAACTTCATTGTCCAGAATACTCACACTTGAGTGACACCCATTCCCTAAACTCCCTCATGGTAGGATCCCGAGGGAGACACGAGCTCAGCTCCCCGGTGCTCACCTGAGGGCGGCCTCCGGGCGGTCTGGGTCGTAGGACTGGGAGCCCGTGAGGACGACGGTGAACGAGGGGGCTCTGGAGAGGAGCAGGTGCGTGCCCTCAGAGATGACGCTGACGGGGGCCCGGGCTCGCACCTCCACCGCCACGCTGTAGTTGCTGTGCACCACGCTGCCTTCCACCTGAACCTGGACCGCGGCGACAAGGGGACGTCACCCAGGGCACTGGGCAGGAGGCGCGCTGGAGCCGGACGCCCCTCTACCACTGCAAGGAAACGGGGGCACCCGCTGGCTCCAGCAGCGGAGCGTGCGAGTCCTGATCTCAGGGTCGTGAGTTCGAGCCCCACCTTGGGTGTAGCAATGACTTGAAAAAAAAAAAAAATTAAAAACAAGTAGGATAACATTGGAAGGATGAGTGTAAACGTGCCCCCAGCATTGTACCGAGGGGCTCCGCTATCGTGAACCCCAACCGGTCACCTGTGTCAGAGAAGGAGCCTCCCGTGTGCCCGGTGGAAGCAAGGCGGCTGGAGTGGAGGAGGATAGGGACACGTGCTCACGTCTGGGGGTGCACACAGAGCCGGGACGGCCCAGGTACTCCCACAGTGACACACGGGTGCCCCGCTCCGCCAACAGGAACCCTGTCCATGGTCTTGGTCTTGGATGGCACTAGCTGGCTCTCTGTAAACTACATTTCTGGGGGCGCCTGGCTGGCTCAGGCCGTTGAGTGTCCAGCTCTTGATCTGGGCTCGGGTCATGATCTCAGGGTGGTGAGATCGAGCCCCGTGTTGGGCTCTGTGCTCAGCAGGGAGTCTCCTTCAGACTCTCCCTCTGCCCCTCCCCCTGCTCTTTCTCTCTCTCTCTCAAATAAATAAGTAAAATCTTAAAAAAACAAACTACATTTCTAGCCCCCATGCGATGGTCTTGAGGCAATGTAAATGAACTTTAAAACAAATATTTTGAAACTCAGGAATACTGGAACATTTTGTAAGCAGGCCATTCAAAAGGGCTCTTTGAGAAGTTTGATGCAATTTAAAAAAAAAAAAAAAAGGCAGAGCGTCACACTTGTTCTTTTCACTGGTCTGGGCCCCGGTCCTTGGTGGTCTCCTTCAGAAAGGCACCCGAGGTTCCCTGCTGGTGGCTCTCCGAGTGGGGACCTGACAACCATCTACCGACTACTGTCTGATCACACTCCACACTCCCACCTACACCTCCCATCTCTGCTTGCCCAACTCCTCCTGCTGGAGGAACCATCAGGAACGTCCAAAGACTGGGAAGTGGGTGGGCAGTGACAATGGGAGGTCTGGACATCGGAGGGTATGACCCCTGGAGGCAACGTGATGACAAGCTCATTCATCAGCAAAAGCACCTCATCAAGTCAGGTCCCCACGACCTGGAGGAAGACACGTCCGGAGCCCACTCTCGGGCAAGGACATGCTCATGAGTAAGTGTGCCAAGCAATGAAGCCAACCTTCATCTTCTCCTTTCCCACATGGGCAGGAGAGGGTGCTGTGACCCCACTGTCCAGGGCCTGGGGAAGAGGGACTCTCAGCACCGGACACAGGCTACCCACGCATGGTCTCACCGATCATGTCAATGCCCATCTTCGCGCACCTTATCCAACTGCGCACCCTTGCTCAGAGCCAGGGGATGTAGGGGGATCCCCAGGGGCACACTGTCCTGTCCCTTCCTCTTTTTGCCAGGTCATGTGGCACTCACTTGTGACCTTACACAGTATGAACCAGGCCCTGCGAGAATGACCATTTCTAACTAAACCAGCCACAGTATTTGTGGTCTGCAAAGTTTCAGGCCAGACCACAGGCAGTTGGCCTCTCGGAGAGGCTGGCCAGACGGCCTGCTTCGGGAACACTCCACCACCCCGTTCATGCCCCAGTTGGGACACCAGGAAGTTAGGCTGGTAGCGTGGTCCACACCATGACCTGGGTCACAGGGTCTGCGATGGGCCCCGTCAGTCCAGCTGAAATCTACTCTTCTAGGAGTCACTTCCCATGTTCCTTGGTGACAAGGAGAGCCCACGATCCGTCACAGAAACGGGATACCTACTCGCCCCTGCCGATGTGACAGTGGACACTGAAGAGTTTAAGCTGTGTTCAACCAAGAAACAATACAGACCATTACAGGAACAAGTGATTTTTTTAAAAGACTCTAACAAAACATTACTATTTTAAAATTTAAATAAAACTGGTGACACAGATCCTTAAGGTGCTTAATAAGGACAGACCAAACCTTCCCCCCTTTTCTGGCTCCTTCCCCTGTCCCATCCCCAAAACACAAGGGCTGCCTGCCTGGGCTCCTCCCTCACTGCTCCTGTCCTCCTACTCAGAGACCCCAGCAGCACCCCCACTCCCAAGGATCCCCCCTCCACTCCTGGGACACTCCACCTGACCTCCCTCCTCCTTCATTGCTCCTGTCCTCCTGCTCAGAGACTCCAGCACCCCCCCACACCCCAGGATCCCCCCTCCACTCCCCGGACACTCCACCTGACCTCCCTCCTCCCTCACTGCTCCTATCCTCCTGCTCAGAGACCCCTGCATCCCCCCTACTCCCCAAGATCCCTCCTCCACTCCCGGGACACTCCACCTGACCTCCCTCCTCCCTCACTGCTCCTATCCTCCTGCTCAGAGACCCCAGCACAATCCCTTACCTCCCCCCACATCCATCTGACCACCCTCCAACATTTCCAACATGGCCCGCTGAGCATTGAAGCCCAACCCTCCATTTCTGCCTTCCCCTGGTCTTCAAAAGAACCTCCCACTCATGTGTTCAGCCTCGTGTCCCACCGCCCAGCCCCTCAAACCCCACGTGCTTCCACGGGACCATCCATGGCCTCTGCCATTCTGCAATCCTCTCCTGACCTGGAACACTGCAGGACCAGAGGCGGGGCTCACAGCCACCCCTCCCCCAGGAGGTGACAAGCTCCCCGGGGAACTTTCAGACAGCAGGAAAACACAGGGCCAGTCTCTGCCTGCAAACAGACTCTGCTCCATGAAGCCGCCTCTTCTAGAAGGGACCGCGACATATTTTCACCCTTTTTCCAGACACAGACACTCCCCTGACATCTGGGGACTACCTCAGCAACACAGTCAAAGCAGATGCTCAGGAGGCTTTTGCTAAAAGAGTAAGGAGATTTTCACGATGACTTTGCCTGCGTTTGGACATGCAGTTTGCTCTCTCCGAGGAAGACCATTTCTGGAGAGCCCAGCCACACTTGTGACAACCCTCGTTTTCTGGGATAGAGCAGGTTGGAGGGACTGGGGCTGAGCTCCTGCTCCGAGGCGGGCGGGACATACGTCAGCCAACCACTCACCCTGGCAAGAGCGGTGTAGTTCCCGGGCTCCAGGAAGTAGCTGGGGACGGTGACGGTCTGCCTGTGGGTGCTGACAGCGGGGGGCAGGGGCACCGGCCACCCCTGGGAGTTCCAGAAGGTCCAGGTGTAGGAGAGGCCTCGGGATATGTCACAGAGGATCTCAGACTCGAATGTTACGCCCAGGGTCACAGGCTGAGACCTCCACACCTGCGGGTCAGAGAGAAAGCGGTCTCGAAGCATCCATTATGCCTAATGCCACAGAGGAGCATCTGGTGGCTCCATGGGTTAAGTGACCGACTCTTGATTTCAGCTTGGGTCATGATCTCAGGGTTGTGAGATCGAGCCCAGCATCAGGCTCTGCACTCAGCAGGGTATCTGCTTGGGATTTCTCTCTCTCTCCCTCTGCCCCTCCCCTGCTCTTATTCTTTCCCTCTCTCTCTCTCTCTAAAACAAATAAATCTTGCTAAAAAATCATTTTAAAAAGCAACCAACGGAGAAAAAAGAACAGCATTTGCAAAATACATGACAGTTAATATTGTTTAAAATCACTAAGACATTTTTAATGTCTCCAATGGAAAAATGGGCAAAGACATACATGGGCAAACCACAAAATTTTCACTGACACTTTATTATATGGTTTTGACTATGAACTCACATTAATGTTGTATATATTCAAAAATCAAATCAAAAAGCAAAAACAAAACCAAAGGAAACCAAAAGTTCTCTGATAATTGAGAGCCAAAACAAAGGAATGTAACCATATTTCAAGGAAGCAACAGAGAAGAGAGATATATTTCAAGTTACTTTAATGTGCAGTATTGTGAGGATATATTCTAAAGGCCAAAGAACCACGATAAATCTGAAAGCTCACAAAGTAATTTCATTTCTGGTGGAAGTACTGGTATTTTTACTTTGAAAACATTTCACATATTTATTAGGAAAAGTGCAAATAAATAATGATGTTGATGTTCCAGACACTGAGATTTTAATTCAGGAGAATTCAAGCATAAAATGTTTCAAAAGGGGCGCCTGGGTGGCTCAGTTGGTTAAGCGACTGCCTTCGGCTCAGGTCATGATCCTGGAGTCCCGGGATCGAGTCCCGCATCGGGCTCCCTGCTCAGCGGGGAGTCTGCTTCTCCCTCTGACCCTCCTCCCTCTCATGCTCTCTGTCTCTCATTCTCTCTCTCGCAAATAAATAAAAATCTTTAAAAATAAGATAAAATAAAATAAAATGTTTCAAAAGCATGTAAATTCTGCATACGTAACGTTTCTAGGAGGGAAACAGCAGGTGAAATCACGACTTATTTTATGTCAAACGAGCTATCTCCTACCAGCATACACTAAAGAACTTGCACACGATGATGCCCCGGGAACGGTGAGCACCCCCGGCTGCCCATTCGAAGGCCCGGGGCTCCGTGGCGAGACGCCGCTTCCGGCGAGAAGGCAGCTATCAGCGGGCCGGGTAGAAGCGCCCCAAGACCAGCGGCGTGTGGCAGAAGGCACCAGACCCAGCCCGGAGCGAACCCGGCAGGCCCCACACGGGCCACTCGGAGCCTCTACAGATCGTGTCTGCAACGGACCGGACAGCTAACAAAACAGCAATCACACGAAGACAGACAGAGGCTTCCTCTGTCCCCGTCTCCCACAAAGCACACACAACTCAGCCGTCACCAGCACAAGGGCTGGTGCCCAACTTCTTACTCTGAAAGCTGAGAATTAAGGGAAAGATTCAAGCACTGTTTTCTTGCTTTTTTGAACAAACTGTATTTCAGGAAAACTTACAGGTCTAGCTGGTGAGGAAAAGCTTTTTTTTTTTTTTTCCTGTTCTCTCTCCTTTGTGAAACAAAAAAATTTTGTGCATCCCATATCAAACAAACAATTGCATTAAGGAATTTTGGAGACAGGGCACCTGGGTGGCTCAGTCGTTAAGCGTCTGCCTTCGACTCAGGTCATGATCCCAGGGTCCTGGGATCGAGTCCCACATCGGGCTCCCTGCTCTGCGGGGAGCCTGCTTCTCCTTCTCCCACTCCCCCTGCTTGTGTTCCTGCTCTCGCTGTGTCTCCCTCTGTCAAATAAATAAATAAAATCTTTAAAAAAAAAGAAATTCTGGAGACAGAGCAATGGGACTATGAGCTAGGTTTAGATTATAGTAAGAGATCATTGCTAATTGTTTTGAGAACAGCATTCCATGTAGGTAAGAAAGCACCCTTAGTTTTTAGAGCTACACACTGAAGTACCTGGGGCTTAAATGTGCTGCGATCTGGGAAGGATTTTAGAATATTTCGGCAAAGAAAAGAACAGAGGAAACCAGTATGGTGACATTTTAGTGATCGCTCAACATGGCTGATGGTTCACCATACTCCTCTTTCTCCTTTTATTTACGTTTGAGAGTTTTTTTATGATAAGAATTGTAAAACGTAGTTCATAAATACGTGAACATAATGTAGCACATAAATACATGAAAAAGCACACTTGCTAACATCAATAAGCCAAAAGACAATGGTGCGGGGGCATGTTAGTACCTACCAGTCACAACCCCACCCCTCCTAGCCAGTCTACCTCTCCCAGCCCCCTGTGGCCCCTGCACGGCCCCTAGAACGTGCCCACCTGGCCCACCGCCCGGCCTGACAGGATTCCCCAGGAACAAGATGGAGGGTGGTGGAGGGAGGATGGAGGAAGGATGAGGGTGGAGGATGGAGGGTGAAGGAGGGCTGAGGGACAAGGGATGAGGGTGGAGGGTGGAGGAGGGCTGAGGGATGAGGGTGGAGGAGGGCTGAGGGATGAGGGCTGAGGGCTGAGGCAGGAAGGGGAGGAGCGATGAGGGATAAGGGATGAGGGTGGAGGGGAAGGAGGGATGAGGATTGAGAAGGCCTGAGGGACAAGGGATGAGGGATGGGGGAAGAGGACTGAGGGTGGAGGATGGAAGAGGGCTGAGGGGGGAGGGGGAGGAGGGCTGAGGGACAAGGGATGAGGGTGGAAGGTGGAGGAGGGACAAAGGATGAGGGATGGGGGAAGGAGGAAGAGGGATGAGGGACAAGGGTGGAGAAGGGTGGAGGGATGCGGGACGAGGGTGGAGGGTGGAGGAGGACTGAGGGCTAAGGGTGGAGGATGGAGGAGGGCTATTTCTTCTAGAACAGAACTCCCGGGTCACACAGCCAGTAATACTTCGGACCACATGCCATGGACGATCCCCTGGGTCATGCTTAACCAGGGACAAGCCCCGTCTGGTGCCTCAACCTAAGAGCAGAGTCAGGATTTAAACACAGACCCCTCTCCCCTGGGTCCAGGCCGCTCCCAGTCTGCATGCCGGGGTGCCCCTTGATGTTTTGTCCGTCTCCCCAACCCGGAGAGCCCCCTGCCTGTGCAGCTGTGTGCTGGCATAGTGGGGGCCTGGGTCTTGCCTATAAGGGGCCGTCACTGTCCACAGGACCCACAGGGCCAGAGACCACCTGGGCCTTGCCCTGGGGGCTCTTCCGTGTGCCCCTGATCCCCACCGCCTCATCTGGGGCAGGAGGTGCCCGACCCCAGACCCTGGTCAGAGGCCCAGCACCTGCGTCTCGTGCTGGAAAGCACAGAACAAAGTCTCGAATTGCAGCTGAGTCCCGGCTTTGATCCCCATGTGTCATGGACACTTCTTCCCCAGAAAGGGAAACCTGCTCTACCCAGAGGCCTCAAAGGAACAAAAGAAGCAAAATGCCACTCTCCGTTTCCTAACCCATAGTAGGCACTTGGGAGGGGACCAATCACGTCTTTGGGAGTTGACACCACATGAATCCAAACACTCCTTTCTCCTGAAAATGCTTGAGTGCTTTGCACAAGCCATTTTTTAAAAAATTTATTTATTTGAGAGAGAGAGAAAGCACGAGCAGGGGGAGAGGCAGAAGGAGAGGGAGAAGCAGGCTCCCCGCAGAGCAGGGAGCCCAATGTGGGGCTCGATCCCAGGACCCTGGGACCATGATCTGAGTTGAGGCATACACTGAACCGACTGAGCCCCCAGGCCAGTCTCCACAAGCAATTTCTAAACATTTCCTCAAAGCAAGCCAAACAGAACACCAGAGTGACTGAAGCCATAAGGCCCCTTGGAGGCCAGGACGAGGCCCGCCCTCCACCTCGGCGCCAGGGCCCTCAGAAGCCCCAAGAGGCACCCCCCTCGCGTCCAGTGCAGCAGGACCTCGGTCCCTGGAGCCCCGCCGTTCCCAGCACGGAGACAACCCCCAGGCCCAGCCCTACCTGCACCTTCCCCGGCCCCATGTTCTTCACAGGGGGCGGCTGGCAGGGCTCCCGTACGATGAACAGTTGCTTTCTCAGGGAGGTGGTGCTGACGTCATTGAAGGCAAGGACCTGGACGGTGAACTGTCCTTCCCTGCAAAGGGCCACAGCGCACAGGAATGAAGACACCCAGCCTGCCAGGCATCTGCCTCTCCTCCTCCACCTGCGTCATTAGAGGACGCGCTGGCCAGAGAGCCCATCCGTGACAACAGAGGACACACGGGTCGTGAGGTTGGTGTCCGCAGGGGCCATCTGCTGCCCAGTTAATACACCGGCTGCCCACCCAGCGCGGGGCGAGCCGGATGCCCAGCTCCCAGGCCGGTGTCACCTGCTGATGGAGAAACAATGGCCTCCCGGCGGCCATGGCCTAGCCCCTCTGTGCACCATGGGGTGATGCACCCCGGCCCCTCAACTGGGAAGTCTGGGCATGACCTTCCTGCTCTGCTCCCTGAGCCTCAGGAACAGAGCACCACCTGCTGTCGTGGTGCGTCCATGAGGAAGGCAGGTCCTGCTGACTCCAGCGCAGGCTGCGGTGTGTGTCCGTCCCCGAGCCACAGAGCCCATTCCCAGGTCCTGGGCCCAGGTGCCCACCTGAGGGAGCCCACCCGGGTGCCATCGCTCCACTCCTTCCTCACGTGAACCCCCACCTCCCACGGAGAAGGCGCACAGTGAGAGCCAGTGACGGGGTCATGAGGGCACGTCCTCGCACGTGGCGAGGCCACAGGGGCTCCCGAGGAAGTCCTGCGCCGAGGCACATCTGCCGTCTCCTGCTGCTGCCGGCCACAGGGGCCTCGCTTCTGGGCCCTTCTGTACACGTTACCTGTCCGTGCCAGCAGCACGGATGGCACCACGCCAGCCTGAGGCTCAGCTCCGTCCAGAGGTGTCCACAGCCTCGGCCACGGGCGCCCAGGGCGAGGGCTCACCTCCAGCCAGGGAGGAGGCTCAGGCTCAGACCTGGCTGGCCTGCCCTCCGTCACCCTCCTGACCTTGACAGTGGCAATCCTGACATTTGCCCTGGTGGCTTCCCGTGGGCGCGCCCACCTCCCCCAGGCAGGCCCAGCTGTGCTTGGATCTCCATAATGCTTCGTTCCAAGTAAACAGCAGGTGCTCAGTAAATGCCGGATGAAAGGACACGGCCCAAGCTCTTCAGGGGGACAGTGAGCCTTTGGCAGTCCTTCCGAGCACCTTCTACCTCTGTCTGCCCTGCACCCTGGTCCCACGGCCCTGTCCGTGTGTCCGGGCGCTCAAAGTGTCCGTTTCTCTGTCTCTCTTCGGCATCTGCCAACTGCACGCCCTGCTAGGTCGGCTGAGGAGAACCGGGGCTCACACCTCGCGAAGGCCGTTCCGGCCGCCCCCACAGAGCCGTGCTGGCCCGAGCCGCTCACCTGCTGTAGGTGTGACTAGCGGAGCTGTCCCCGGGGCCCACGGTGCCATCCCCAAAGTCCCACAGGAAAGTGACTTCGGTGCCAAAGCTGAGTCTGCACTCAAAGGTCACGCTGGCGTTCAGCAGAGCCGAGGAGGGGGACACGAGCCGGTTGGCGACGATCCTCCTCTGCGTCCTGATGCGGTGGGGCTCCGAGGCCACGCTGCCCCGCCCATTGGCAGCCTGCACCGTCACGCTGTACCTGAGGTGGGACCGCCGAGGGGGCGGGAAGCACGGGTGGGGGACAAGAGCGGGTCAGGTAGAGAGCAGCCCCAAGAAAGGCGGGGGAGGGTCGAGACAGCTTCACCCGCAGGGACTCCCCAGCCCTCACGGGTCCCCGCTTATGGGGAGGGGTGGCGGAGACGCCGGACTGCCCCTTGTCATTACGTAGTCACCTGCAGAGTGGCAGGGTCACGCTGTGACCCTTGCCTGCACGGGGACTGACTCAGGTGGAGGAGGTGGGATCTGAACGCAGGATCGCCAGTTCCAAAGCCCCACGCCCGCCCCTAGTTCGAGTGGGAGGGACTTCCTCGTCCTCTAGCCTTCCGTGTGCATCCCTCCTGTTCACAGAAGCACTCCGAAATCATTCGAGTGGCATCTGGGGAATCTGCAGACGAGCTAAGGCCAAATGACGCCCATTTACTCACCACTGGGGGACGCCAAGTCTTTTCTTAATGCTCCTGGACATTGTCTTCACGGGAGGACCTTCTCCGAACAACCACACAAACTCCAGGGGGGTCATTTCCTCGGTAACAGCCAGAAAAGTGATGTGGACATCGGTGGCAAACACGGTTCCGTTTGTGTAGACAGAGACGGCTGTGAGAGCGGGGGAGAGGCAGAAGCATTGGCGCGGAGGGCGGGGGCCTCCCACACGGTACGGCCAGGAGGGAGGGTCCCCAGCCCACACGTAGGGCTGCGGTGGGAACCTGCTGGGCAATTCTGGCCCCAGATCAAAGGCCACACCGTAGCTCACAAAATGAGAGCGGCCATCCCTGTGAGTTCTCCTCAAAGGAGCACCGGACGGGGCCGGGGCGTGCAGAGGATTCTGCACTGTGACCCACCCCACACCCTGAGGTCGAAGCCTCGACGCATGTGGCTTCTAGAAAGCACGAGAATGAACTGCGGGTCAACACCAAGCTGGTTCAAGGGCAAATGCAAATCTCAGGGGAGCTAATCACAGCGTCTGGTGCTCCCGGGGCCCCTGTGGCCTCGACGGATCCGAACGAGCCTGGAATCAGAGTGCAGACGTACGCTGCATGCGATACCCGACCGTGACGCGGTGCTGGCCCTGGCCGCCCCCCGCTCGGCTCTGAGAAGTGAAGGCCACGTCCTCCGAGGGACAGGCTGGAAGTCGAAGCGAGACGGCGGTGCCTGAATGGACAACGAAACAAAACGAAACAGACATAAGGGCCTTAAAGTCTGGCCCTCCGTCTCATGCCGGGGGTGGTCAGTGTTTTCGTCTCTTCCTTTCCCTCTCTGAATTCCAGTGAGTTCCAAGTTCTGGCGCACGAGACTTGGAGTCAAACAGGCCTGCGGAACGCGGGCCTTGTCTGGAATGTCTCTGACATTTTAAGCGCTTTCTGCTCCCGAGACCTGCCCTGCGTGGAGTGAGCGTGTTCATCCCTTTGCCGGACGGCCTTGCCTTGGAAGGATCTCCCTGACGGGCACGCGAAGGGCTGCTTACTGCATGAGGTTCCCAACGGGGCCCCGGGGCGAGCCTTGGGCTGGTAACCCCCCGGACACACAGTGCAAGGTGCCGCACATATGGGACATGTGTGTGTGTGTGCGTGTGTGCACCAGGAGGGCGCCTACCAAACCACCTGTCGGGTCCCAGAGGAGGACTGGCATGTCTGGGAAGACTCAGAACAACCCATGTGTCTGCATGAGGAAAGGAGGTGGGTCTTTTCTTCAAAGACTGTTGTCCTGTGTAGTTTTTCCCTTTAGAGGGAGAAAATGCTCATTTGTAACAATGACCACGCGGAGTGGGTGTTTCATTCATCTGCGCGTTAGAATTTCTGAAGAATAAATACCCCATGACTGAGAGTGACACCATCCCACGAGCAATACCTGAAGCTTCATTCTGGTGGGAATGCGGTATCAGGCCGCGGAAAGAAGCACACATAGGGATTTGCACGGGAACACCTCGTTCGCACGCATCCGTGCCAGACCCTCTGATTCTAACTCCTGACACAGAACGACCGGGGACAGGCTAACCCCCCGCCCCCACATGTGTGTTCTAATTTCTTGGGTAGAGAGGCTCTCACAAGGCTAACTGCATGGAAACTGTACGGTCAGTGTGAAGAACAAGTTACAAAGACCTCCAGGTGAGTGAGCGCATCTGGACACACGCCCACTGGCTTCCCCTTTACCCGCTTCTGGGAAACGTAACACATTGCTCCATCCACTCAGGCCGAGCACTCTGGGACCGTCTTTGACGGGTGCCCACGACCCTTCCTTCCACATGTTGCTGACACTTGGCTGGGATTCTCCGTTCCTACCCCGCCGGCCCCCAAGCCCGGTGCCTCCCCTACAATGTTGAGCAGATGGGGAGCCCCTCGCCAGTGGCTGTGGGCCTGATGGGAGCGAAGTGCAAGCAGAGCACCTGGCCCCCCTGTGAGCACTCATCCATCCCCAGTGCCCGTGGGGCCTCATCTCTGTGCTTGGAGTTCCTGCCCAGCTGCCAGCCCCACATGGTCTCCCCACACCCGCTGGACCCCTCCCCAAGGCCCAGGATGGATCCAACTCTTGCCCTAGAACTTGCTTATCCCGCAGTGATACACCTTCCCTCCTGACACCTCCCAGGCCCTGGCCACGCCCTTCGAGAGGCAGCACCACGTCCGAGGTCCTGTGTTTCCAACACAGACCTCGATGTCTTTCCTAGACTGTAAATCCTGAGACCAGGACTTGGTAGGACTTCATCTTCACGTGCCCCTCAGAGCACAGTACTGTGCAATCAGTGTGTCCTGAACGAGGCGGGGTAAAGGATGAGATGAATGCGTGTCTGAGCTGAGAATCAGTTCGACCTGGATGTACCACCTGGCAGAGGCGGGTCTGGGCGTTCAGAATCCGCATGTGTCTCTTACCTTTCTGAACTGTGCTGCAGTCAGCAAAGACAAGAAGCTCGTCCTTGTGGATGCTGCTGGAATTCATGAACACGGACATGGTCGCAGGGCCGATCTCCACATAATAAGGACCAAGCTCCTTTTCAGTTCCACAAAACTCGTAGATACGTGCCTTGAGCACATAGGCTCCTTCTGGAAAGAGACGCAAGAGCGGTCACGTGATGAGTTATGAAGAGCACGTGCAGCACTGAACATCTGTGCAAAGGCAATGAGGGGTGAGTACTCTGGGAACGGACCCAGCACAGGTGGCTTTCTCTTGCAGGAGGGGCCACTTCATGGGCAGGGGACCCGTGCAGGGCATATGACATGCAACAGGGCTCGGCGTGTGCCTTCATGCTCCGCAGTCATGAACGTCTTAATAATTTGTGTTAACCAAGGGTGCCGCGTTCTCACATTGCCCTGGGCCCTGAGAACAACGCAGTAGAACATATTCACGAGGATGCAAACAGACACCGGCCACCCCACAGCGAGGCAAAAGAATGCAGCGGTTGTGACGATCACAAACACACACGCACACACACATGCACACAATGGCCTTCTATGAAGTGAGGGGTGGGCCACGAGGCGTGGGGCGGAGCCGGCTGGCGGGAGGGAAACAGAAACCAGAGAGCACGACAGGAGGGATCTGGAGGGAAAGCGAGAACGGTAAGCAAGATGAAATGAGCAGAAAGGATTCGAGAAGCAAAGGGACCTAGCACGTGCATGGCCAGTCTTCCATAAAGAAAGCTGAAATGCCAGCACAGAAACAGATTTAAAGACATAATTTAAAAAAAAGTCTTTCCTGGGGATGCCTGGGTGGCTCAGTTGGTTAAACGTCTGCCTTTGGCTCAGGTCATGATCCCAGGATCCCAGAACCCTGCTTCTCCTTTTCCCTCTGCCCCTCCCCCCACTCATGCACTTGCTCTCTCTCTCTCTCTCTCTCTCTAATAAAATCTTAAACAAAAATCTTTCCTGAAACGAAGGAAAACAAAGCATACTTACATATTGGAAAGGCACGCCATGCACCAGAGAGAGTTGACCTGGAACGGCCAGGCGTGTTTCCACAAAGTTACGGGACCGCAAATATAACAATGACTTTGAGCCAAACACCAAGTCATCCCTATGGAGGAAACAGGAAGCTGACCGTAGATGCCCCACAGCGTGGCAAGTGTGAGGGTCACGCAGATGGCTCCCCAAAGCACAGAGGACTAAGATCCAGCCCCTGCATTTCTGAGTCTGTATGTCTGCGGCCAGAGAATCTGTACTTTATCCTGACATCAGATCCGGATGATGTCGGTCCAAGAACCCCACCTGGCCAGACTGGAGCAGAGAAACACCTCCATTCCTCGAGAAAAGAATGTGTGACCACGGATGGAAGAGCCAGCAAGTGGTCATTCACATATAACAACTTCGAATACGGAAGAAGTGGGAATCTTATTCCATGAGTCTTCCTAACACATCTGTTCCAAAACATGCATCTGATAAAGGCTGCTATCCAAAACATATGAAGGACTCTCAACACTCAACAAATAAGCAAACAGACGGCCTTATTAAAAAGTGGACGGAGGAGCTCTGGAAGGAGACGCGTCACCCAAGGAGACAGTGAGACGGAGTAGCACATGACAAGATGCTCCGCGTCCCGCGTCAAAGCCGTGCATGCGGGAACCACACCCCTCAAGGACGGCCAGGATCAGTCCCAATGACACCCACTGCTGGCCAGCATGTGGGGTCCCAGGAGCGCTCGCTCACTGCTGGTGGGGATGCAGAACGGCCCAGCTGTGGGGCGCCCAGCCGGCTCAGTCAGAGGAGCATGTGACTCTGGATCTCGGGGTCATGAGTCTACCCCCACGTTGGGGGCAGAGATGACTTAAACAAATAAATGCATAAACTTAAAAAAAAAATGGTGCAGCTGCTTTGGGGGACAATTGCGTGGTTTCTTTAAAACTAAATATACCCTCACTCTAGGATCCAGCAATCACGGAGGTGTGGGCCAGACAGGTGCTGGGCTATCTGCTGAGACAGGTGCTGCCGAGGGGGAGGACACCCCGAATCCTGCCTCAGGCCAGGCCCCCTTCCTCCTCTTCACACGCTCTCACACTCACACGCACACACACACACGCGTTCCCAGCAGGGGTGTGATCACAAGGACCAGACGGAGGGTGAGCGCGGGTGCTGGGGACATGAAGATGCCGGGAGCCAGCATGCCTGCTCTATCGAGGGGCATGGGGCTACGGCAGCCCCGCAACCCACCAGCTGTCATCGTTTCATTCCTAACACTGACCACATTTTAAGTCACAAAGATAACCTCAGCATTTTTTTTTTAAGCAAAATGGGAGAAAATATCCACTCATCATGATGGGCTGGAACTATGAATTAATAATGAAGCCAGAACACAAGAAAGGCCATACGACAGGTGGCGATTTTAAAACTTGAATAATAAATAATAATGTAAGCATCCAACTCAAAATGGAAATCTAGAACAAAAGCATTGTATAAGAGCAGGAAGAAGGCAGTAAAGATAAAAGCAGAAATTAATAAACTTAGGGGAGGAATGCAGTCAATGAAATTCAAAGACTGGTTCCTTTTTTTTTTAAGATTTATTTATTTGAGAGAGAGAGAGACAGTGAGCACGAGCGGGGAGGGGCACAGGGAGAGGGAGGAGCAGACTCCCCACTGAGCAGGGAGCCCGACTTGGGGCTCGATCCCAGGACCCTGGGATCATGACCTGAGTCGAAGGAAGACACTCAACCGACTGAGCCACCCAGGCGCCCCTGAGTATACAACTCTGAATTTTGGCTCAGGTCGTGGTCTCAGGGCCCTGGGATCAAGCCCCACACTGGGCTCCACACGGAGTCTGATTCAGATTCTCCCTCTCCCTCTGCCCTCCCCCTGCTCATCTGCTCCCTCTCTCTCTGTGTCTAAAGTAAGTAAAATCTTTTAAAAATTAAAAATTAAAAAATTAAAAAAATTAAAAAGTCCTTGATAGGAACCCTCCTACGCTGTCGGTGGGAATGCAATCTGGTGCAGCCACTCTGGACAACAGTATGGAGTTTCCTCAAAAAGTTAAAAATAAAACTACACGATCCAGCAATTGCACTACTGGGTATTTACCCCAAAGATACAAATGTAGGGATCCGAAGGGGTACGTGCACCCCGATGTTTATAGCAGCATTATCAGCAATAGCCAAACTATGGAAAAAGCTCAAATGGCCATCGACTGATGCATGGATAAAGAAGATGTGGTTACACAGACACAATGGCATATTAGCCACCAAAAAGAATGAAATCTTGCCATTTGCAATGATGTGGATAGAGCTAGAAAGTATAGTGCTAAATGAAATAAGTCAGTCAGAGAAAGACAAATACCAGATGATTTCACTCATATGTGGAATTTAAGAAACAAAACAAGTAAGGGGGAAAAAAAAAAAGAGAGAGAAAGAGACAAACCGGGAAACAGACTCTGACCTCTAGAGAACACACTGCTGGTCACCAGAGGGGAGGTGGGTGGGGGATGGGGAAACAGGTGATGGGGAGGAAGGAGGGCACCTGTCGTGATGAGCACGGGGTGATACAGGAAAGTGTTGAATTGCTAGACTGTACACCTGAAGTAATATTACACTGTATGCTAACTGGAATTTAAAATAAAAAAATAAAAAATGAAAAAAGTCCTGATAAAGGAGGAAAGATGAGAAGCTCCTCAACATTCGAGAAGCTCTATCGGCCCCAAATCTGTTACCAAGCTTAATGGGCAACACCGAAAGCATCTTGAGACAAAGATGCCACTGTCATCTGTCCTCGGCCACCTTGTTCTGGAAGTAGCAGCCACGCTGAGTGAGACAAGGATAGGACAGGTGTCAGCTTGGAGGTACAGAGATGGTGTGTACCCATGTGTACATAATGTTCACGTAACTGACAAACACTAAGGAGTAAGCTTCATGGTAACTACACACAATGTGACAATTCAGAGTGATAGAGGGGTACAAAATTAAGTCAATACCAGCAACTCTTCCACATCCCATTGACAACCCACTTGAAGAGAAAATGAAAGAAAAGATCTCATATACCCCAGCACGAAAAGTGAAACCTCCTCTGAGAAACGTGCACTTTCCATATGAAGACATTTTTAAATGCTTCTAGAGACACAAAGAAGACTTGGACAGAGAAAGGTATTTTCATGAGAGGGGAGATTCTTGAGCATAAATAGTCTGCAGAAATCAATTCGTGAATTTAACATTATTTGAATAAAAATGCCAATAAGATGTCTTTACGCGAGCCAGTGGGAGTCTAAAGTCCACGTGGAAAAATGGACAAGTGAAAATAACCAGAATAATTTTAGAAAAGATGAGTAATGAAGGGGAGCCCAGCTGCATGGACAGCAGAACCCACCCCACAAGCAGGGGTGGGGAGGGAGGGCTGGGGGTGGACGGCAGGGGCTGGGGGTGGCCGGCAGAGGCTGGCGCTCTCCAGACCCCTGGGGGCAGGGCCAGCAGCGCCCAGGGGTGGTCATTCAGAGAAAAATAAAATGCAATCTGCCCCCTCAGACTCGTCACCAGAATGCACACTCCAACGTACTAAATATTCAACTGTGCGGAACAGAATCATACAAATACTGCAAGATACCACGATAGAATTATTTTGCAAACTTGGATTAAGGAAGGGATTTCTCTCTATGACAAAACCCAGAAACCATATAAGAAAAGAGAAAGTATACTTAAAAATTAAAATTGCTGCATGAAAGGAAAAAAAGCTGTAAGCAAAGCCCAAACACAAATGACAAATGAGAAAAACATTCATTGCAGCTTATACCTGATGAAAAGGACTAATTTTCATGATTACTAAAAGTGCTCATACAAACAGCATATCAGGTTGAACCACGAAAGTACTCCTCTTCTTGGTAAAATATGGCAAACGTTGGCACTTTGGCGGGATTGAACCTAATAAGAGGCAAATTAAACCGCAGAAAGATACGTTTTCACCTTTTACACTGATGTCTACACTGCTCTGGGGACTATAAACCAGCCAACCCTTCCCGGGAGCAATTGAGCAACAACCAGCAAATTACAAATGAACCTAGCATTTGAGGCAGTAATTCCTCTTTTCTATGGAATAGCACATACATGCACGTTGTGTGCAATATTGAAAGATTAGGAAACAATCTCAAGGTCTACCCGTAAAAGAACGGTGAGACAGATTTGGGGCACTGCGCTGCCGGACCCCTCTGCACCCACAGGCACGTGTGGGAAGAGCTCTGGAGGCGGACGAGCACATGAGCGAGCACGTGAGCGACAGGGAGCAGGGCTCCGCCTGGTGCACGTGTGTGTGTCCCAGACAGAAATACCATAGGGGTGCTGCTCACGCAGGAGACATCTCAGAGATAGAGAGCAGTGCTGCCTGAGAGGGGGCGCCCATGACCACACGCCTCCCTGTAAGGTGGGGGTTGGAACTTCGAGAATGCACCATATTCAAAAAATAATTTTAAAAAATGAACAGCGAGCAAACAGTGACATGGTGCTGGTGAGCAGGACAAGGTTGGAACTGACCCGCTCCCACCCCCCAGCATCAGCGCTGGGGGCTTCTCCATGAAGACGGGTTCCAGCACCAAGACGTCTGGAGAAAAACGGTTTTTGTGACTTTGTCTAAATGCAAAGTGTTTGACAGTTTAGTGCAGAAGATTAAGCGTGCAATGTTGTGTGTATGTGTGTACCCACAGGACAGCGTCAGCGACTCACACCAAAGCTCAGAGCTTTCCCGTGGAGGGGGTCACTGGCTCACTAGGTGTGTGACCTCAGGACAAAGCCCTGCCCCTCTGGCCCTCCCGTGCTCCTCCAAATGGAGAACAGGGCCGATGGCGGGATTCAGTGAGGAACAGTAGACGGGAGCAGGCCCAGTGCAGGCTCCTGGGCCTTCATCATCAGAACACGCACGCATGGGGGGCCGGGGGGGGCAGGGGGGCAGGGGGCGCCAGGAACGAGTGGGGTCTCCTTTCGGCCCCAGTGTGGCCAGCGCCATCTCTGGGATCTCGCCACACTGCACTCACTGCCTGGGTTCAGATCCTGACACCGAGCACCCTACCTTTCCCGAACTGGTGGTAGGCGGTGACCGCCGCTCCTCCAGTCACATTGCGGATCGCCACTGGAACCCCAGAGCTGTCCCCAAAATCCATCACCAGACACAGAGCTGCTTGGGAAGCCACCTGGCCCCGGAAGCCCAGACTCGGAGGCACCTGGGCGTCTGCGTCTGGGAAGCCACAGATGGCGGGATCCACTGTGTCAGCAGGAACTTGCACGGAGATGGTCCCAGGGTGACACTGAGCAAGGGGACAGAGCTGCTTGGGACGAGGCCAGGATGCTGAGCCACTGTGGCCGAGGGAGCTGTGGGGAGAGAGGAAGGACAGCTTCAGAAAACACAATGGTCCGACCGGGAGGGATGCAGACTGGAGGGGAGCAAGCTCTGTGGAGCCTGATGGCAGGGCTTACTCTCCCCAGCTCCCAAAGTGGGGTCCCGGGCCCAGTGGCGCCAGCATCAGCGGGCCCTGGTGAGAAATGCAAGGTACGCGGAGTCAGAAGCCCCGCATGGGCCCGCAAGCCCGAGGGGACACTGAGGGCACCTACAATCTGAGAGCCCCCGCTCCGGCTGCATTAATCCCAGCCGCGATGCAAATGCTCTCCCTCATCGCTGAAGGAAGGGCCCTATAAGGTATGCTCCCCGAAAGTCACTCGCTCTGATAGTTCTGTGAAAACGCCCAACATGGGCTGGGCACCAGCCTTTCCACCGGCGGCCCTTCCTGCTGTGAGCGCCCTGTCTACTAGGAACATGCAATCATTCACAGCTCCAGTCTGGATGGGCGTGTGCCCAACCCGAAATACAAAGCCCACCCAGTAACGTGGGCTCTGGTGGGGAAAACAGTGGCCAGCTGTGTGGTCCAGGGCGCTGGGACTGAACTGGTCACAAATGCAACCACCACTAGGTGAACAGGGAGACAGGAAGTCGCCAGCCCACGGGGCGTGCCTCCAGAATCGGGGTCTAGGGCGGACACAGGCCTCCCCGCCACCCTCACCCTACCTTCCCGGTAAGGTGGGAAAAGGTGCGGTCGGAGTGTGGGTCTGAACGGACGCAGCCACCCAGATGGGGGCCCCCATCGTAACGGTGGCCGCCGTGACCTCGGTCCCTGGAAGCCGCTCCGGGGCCACGTCCTCTGCAGAGCGCTGCCGTCCCAGGAGACAGGCGGGGATCTGCGTGCTCACGCTGCGGGAGCCCACTGCGGGACGGGTGCACTGGAATTTAAGAGGTGAACGAGTAAGGGGTCATGACGGGGTCTAGGCTGCCATCGGTCAGCGCCGGTCTCTGCACGGTCGGGAAGCTGGAGAATAAAGGGTCCCCGTGAGGCTGTGGGCTCCCTCATCCAGGTGGGTTAGCGCAGGGTGGCCCATGCATTGCAGACGGGGTGCGGGAGAGGGTTCACACCAGCCAGCACAGCGGCCAAGGGCACACCGGCGGCAACCACCGGGAGCCTGGGGAGACATCGCTGTCCCGAGTTCACGCTACTCCCGGCGAAGTGACCACGAATGAGCTCCTTTATAGGGTCAGCTACAAATCAAAGGGGACGGCTGAGCGGGGATGCTCTTGCAGACATCAAAAATGCGGTGCACATTTTCCATTAGTGAGGATCCAATTCATATTACGCTTTCAAACCGGCTGAGCAGCGTCCGAAGGACTAGCAGCTGGAAATACGGCTCGCCCCCAAGCCCCAGGGCTGCCTGACCCACCAGCAGCTTTCCGGAGATGTTCCCCCACGTCAGGCAGACACACCCACCTGGAGAAGACCACAGAGGTCACCGCTGGCTTTCCCAGCCGCACACATCCGTCGGCCACAGGGGCCACTGCTGCCCCAGAAGCTCGCCATTGTCACGGAAGGTCCCCGGGAGTCTCTGGATACGAAGGGGAAAAGGCAGAGACAGAAAGGCTGGCTGTGCTTCGCTCACTCATGTGGCCGTGAGACCACGGGAGGCCTCTCTGTGACCCGCCCCTGCTCATCGGCGGCCCGGGTGACACCGGGGTGTCTGCAGGTAGAAGCTGAACCCGCAAAGGCTGCGCCAGCGTTCTGGGAAGGAGTGTCACCGAGGAGGAGCATATTTAAGGCCATTTACTAACATCTGTCCCCAGCTGGGACCCCGCCTCAGATGGCTCACCCAAAGGGTGGTCACTGTCCTAACGTGCTCTGCCATCCAGGGGCGGCTGCCTGGGCTCGGGTCACAGGGAGCTGTCCCCTGAGGCAGAGCCAGGCCTCTGCAGGAGTCACCTGTGACTCGAGGCTGCTCCCGTGCATGGCAGCAGCTCACCGAGTCTGGTGCCCTCCAAGGTCCTGTGAGTGAGATGCGAGGGGCATGACCACAGCCAGCAAGGACGAGGACCTCTTAGAGGGTCCCCTTCATGTCCCATGTCACAGGACCCCGTTTACCTCGACCCGTGGGCCCTACAGGAGGGATGTGCCGAGGCCGGTCAGGGCCAGGGCACTCAGACACGGACGCCGTCCCCCTCCTCTGCTACAGGGCTGAGTCCTTGTCCTGGGGCCGGGGAAGCTGAACATCTCTGGCCCAGGCTGTCCTAACGCTGGGCAGGAAGTATGTGGGCTCTGGGCGCCCAGCTTCCAGCTGTGGTAATGGCACAAGGGGCCCAGACTTCAGATCACAGCACAAATACCACAGGGCCCGTGAGCCCAGGCCCTCCCTGTCCGCACAGGGTCACCCGTTCTCTCCATCCAGGGGCTCTCCCGCCAGTCAAGCCAGCCGTCCTCCCGCGACACAGTTCCTAGTCCGCTTGTCCTGGCTGCTGGCTTCCTACCCGTTCCCATATCCCTTCAGCTGTTAACGCAGTGATGTTCCTTAAAACCCCCCAGGTCTCCACTGAGCTCGCACAGCCTCCAGAGGACGGACAGGGAGCGCCTCCCCAGAGTGCTGCTCTGCTCAAACCTGTTTCCAGAGTTTTCCGGGAGGAAGGCCCTCTCCCCTGACGCGTGCGCAGCTGAGACTGGCTGCCCAGCACCCCTGCTTGGTGCAGCGGAGGACCAAGGATGCCCGCGGTCCGCTGAGGGCCTGGTGGCGCACAAGAGCACGAATTCCAACCGGGGGTTTCTCTCTAGCAGAACACGTTTCTTACACACCGGCCAAGTTCCAAAATCGCTCCGCAGCAATCAACCCCGAAGTTCCTCACTGGAGGAAGACGGAGTCTTCAGCTGGGGCCCCAGAGGATGCATCAGTCCGCCCAGTGACCTGTACCAGCCGGATGGGCCAGAGCTACCACACCTGCAAGGCAGACGCCTGGACGGTCCCCCCCAGGGGCGGAAGGCTACGGTCGGCACAGAGGACTCCAGACACCACAGCCCTCGGGCACGCGCCCAGGCACACGGCTCACAGGCCACCTGGCAGGTCCCACTCGCCCCAGGACTGCAGCCAGCAGTGAGGAGGGGCTGGCGGAGCCGGGACGAGGACAGGTGTGCGGAGCAGGGGCCCTCTTTGGCTTTGTTTTTCTGGGTTTTCCTAGAGTGGCTGACCTGCCGGGTCCCCATAGTCACCGGTCGGACCAGGCCTGGGTCCCCTGCCGTGTGTGTGTGCTCTGTGAGGGTGGGCCTCCACCCGCCCCCCCAGTCTGCTCTCTGCAGTGTTAGGGCAGCGGCTGAGGCCCAGCGGGGCGACGCGGGGACACAGAAGGCCACGTGCACCCGCTCCGTGCGCGTGACAAGTCAGAGTCACACATAAACCTGACCTCCCTGCGGAAGCCTGCAGGCCCACAGCCGCAGAGCCGAAATCTCCGGCACGCCCACTCCTCCTCCCCTGCCGGCCCTCCCTGGCCTCCCCCGCTCCGGTAGTGGTGGGGTGGACTGCCTTGCGTCCCCGCCCTGCCGGGGACTTGTACTCGCACCAAGGGACACCAACCACTCCTGAGAGAGACTTCAAGGGCCGTCAGGAGGTGCTACTGTTGATCTGCATCCAGCCTGCCTTCAGCCAGATCCCAGAAGGAAGAGGCCGCGGGTGCAGGGCCTCGTCTAGGCACAGGGGACACAGAAAAGGGCCTCTGTCCCCAGGGGTAAGCCCCACCTGGACAGAGCGGCTTGTCCCAGCAGCGCTGCCGGCAGGGGTGGGTACCTGTCCCTACAATCCACCCGCTTCCCCCAAATGGGCCACGTTCCCCCCTTTGCTGGGATGACTCCTTCCCTGGCTCCACCTAACGGACCTCCAGCTCACTCCCCGAGCTCAGTCCCCAGTCCCAGGCCTTCCCGACTCCGTGGACACCCCCCTGTAGAGTCAGAAGGGCCCCACATTGCCCTATTTGCTGTTTGGGTTACGCTTCCCTCCTGCACGGGATTGAGGGTCCCCCAGCGGAGGACAGGATCTTATTAGTCTCTGTAACCCAAATCCTGCCCTGTAGAGTAGGGGCTTCAATAATGGTGGGGTTTTGTGGGGAAGGAGGAATCGCGCAAATAAATGGAGAGCAGGTGCACTGAGGTCCCTGGGGAGACCTGGGGAACACGGCTGTTCCAGCAGCCTGGCGGGTGGGCCACACGGGGCATGGGGCAGGGGGCGCTCGCATCAGTGAACATGGTGGAAATGCGCTAATCACCAGGAAGGACAAAGAAACGTCTGTATCCGGGCACCCGGTGTTTCCTTGTTTTCTGTATGCGTCAATGTTTAAGTTTCATTAGGGTGAGTAAAACCATAGATTTCAGGACTACCATGAGGTCCAAGAGCACGCCACGTGTCTTTAGAAGCACGCTCACTTCCAATTTTTGACGGCCCAATGCTACTTTCTTATTGTGGCAAAAAAAATAATAATAATAACATAAAATCGACTGTCTTTCTCATTCTGAAATGTACACTTCATCAGTGCTTGGTACCTTCCGGGTGTTGTGAAACATACCCCAAGGATTTTTCATCCTAAACATCCTGCGGACCCTAAACCCTGCACCCACTGAACACCAGGTCCTCGGTCCCCAGCCTCCACCCCGGCACCCACTATCCATCCTCTGTCTCTAGGAACTCGGCTGCTCTAGGGGCCTCATGCACATGGAATCCTGCAATATCCACCCTTCCATGACTGGCTTGTTCCACTTAGTGCCCCGGGCTCAGGCTCCCTCTGATGCCACAGTTTTCAAGTTTACCCATGTCACACCCGCGAGAAGACCAGTCACCCATTCTTCCTTCCACCAAGATCGGTGTTCTGTGTACTCTGCAACCTCCCGCACCCCAGACGGTGCTCCAGAGCTCACCCCAGCCTGGGCAGGTCCTCGCTCGCATGCCCGTGTGCAGAGCAGAGCTCCACTGGGGCTCGCAGACATACCTCTTGGCACGGTCACCCCGATCCGCAGCAGCCCACGTCCTCTTGCTGACAACACTTAACACTGCTCTGCTGGTTGTTCTCAAAATGTTCTGGGAGGGGGACAAACAGTAGTAACTTGAGAGCTGCTTATAAGAACTCAGTGACTTTGGGAAAGTAACACTATTTCACTCACAGGACAGCAGCCGGCCCTGCTGGGCTGTAGAGAACGGGCAGAGAACAAAGCAGGCTAGCCCTCTGTCCCCCCGGAGCCCATGGTCTCGGGGTCATGGGGAGCCAGCTGGAGAGCAGGAGAGCTGTGGACACCAGGAGGGTAGGGGGTCCCGGGGGAGGCAGGGAGGTCCGATGGGGTCTTCAAACCTGGGACTCTGCATGTCCTTCTGAATGAGACAGACGTGTGGGCACCCGAGTGGCATAATCTGACCCATGGCCTGGCCGCCATATTGAAAAAGGATGTGAGAGGCAAGAATCCCAAGGGAGATATTCTGAATTGGCTCTCAATTCAGACATTGCATCAGCCCTAGAGACACGAGTGGCTCTGTTTCCAGGGCTGAAATGGGTAAGGCAGCACCCCCTGGGTACCCCTGATGGAATCCTTCCAAGAGGCAGGGCGCCGTAGGACATCTGTGTCAAACTAACCAGCACAGACCTCCTTGATTTACGGTGGGGCTGCATCCAGATGAACCCATCCTAAGTTAAAAATACTGTTAAGCGGAAAATGCATTTGACACACCCAACCTCCCAAACATCAGAGCTTAGCCTGGCCCGCCTTCAATGTGCTCAGAACACTTGAGCCTATGTTGGGCAAAATCCTTGAACACAAGGCCTATTTTATAGTAAAATTTTGACTCTCTCCTGTAACTGACTGAATGCTATACTGAAGGTGAGGAACAGAGCGGCTGTGTGGGAACAGAGGGTTGTCAGGGCATCAGCTGTTGACCCTTGGAACCGTGCACCTGCTGGGGAGCCACCCAGCATCCCAGAGAGGATGTACCATGTGTCACCAGCCCGGGAAGAGATCCCATTCAAAATTCCAAGTATGGTTTCTACTGTTTTCATAACATCATAAGGTCGAAAAATCCTAAGATGAGCCATCATTAAGTCGGGGACCGTCTGTATAACGAGAGTGGCTGGCTACTCCTAACTGCTGGACAAAGCAGGGAGAGAAAGAATGAGCTCAGGGATTCGAACTCCCAGCTCAAGCTGCATATGGATCTATGTTGGCCCCCAAGAAATCCCTGCCTCCTGTAGCCACTGGGCTCAGACTCCCGAAAATCAACCCAGAGCCTCATCCCTGGGGCTCATTCACCAGAGAGAATGCCAGCCGCACCAGAAGTTGGAAAAGGCACAACCCTCCCCACCCAGCCTCCCTGGGGGCATGACCCTGCCAACACCCTGACGTCGGCCCCAGAAAACTGAGGAGACAGAACACATTTCTGTTGCATGAAGCCACCCAGTTTGCGGAGATTTGTCATGGTGGCCCTGGGAAGCCCGTGCAGAAGACTGGCTCCGATGAAGGTGGCCACACCAGGGTGGTGGTCTAGCAGGCAGGGAGGCGGGCCCGGTCTGGGACACCGTAGAAGCAGAAGTGAGGACGGGCGGGACGGGCTGCTGGGGTGGAAGCACGATGGAGCAGGAGAAAGAACAAAAGGACAAGGCCAAGGGCTTGGCAAATTCAGGGCTTGGGTGGGCGCAGGCGGGGCGCCTGGAGGGGACCAGGCCGTGATGCTGTCACTGGCCTCCCCATGCCCCACAGGAGCAGCTTCCTGAGACAAAAATCCACAATTCCTGGGCCAAACAGCAGGGAGGAGCTGGGGGGTGGGGTGGGGAGGGGCCGTTAGAACTTTCAGGGCTTGCCACCTCATGTCCCACACTCACAGAGCCCCCAGCCCCCCAAACAGTGCCCCACCATCCCTGGACTGAGGGTCCAAGCTTCAACTAGTGCTTGACATAATTTTTAGCACAAGTGGTTTTAGCCAATTAATAACCGGGGACCCATCCCACGGAACTGTCCACCCGCGCTCTCTACCTTCTCTGAGTGCGGGCCAGATGCTCTGCTCCCCAGAGGGAAAAAACCTCCAGGTGTTGAGAAGGTGGAATTGGTGGGGGGAGGGAGCGTGCAGTGCATATGCTGAGACTCAGGCTTTCTACTGGGGAAAACCACCACAGGACAGCTCTCCAGGGAAGGGCCTAGGTTGTTCAAGAGTTCCCAAGGAGGGGGCGCCTGGGTGGCTCAGTTGGTTAAGCGACTGCCTTCAGCTCAGGTCATGATCCTGGGGTCCCGGGATCGAGTCCCGCATCGGGCTCCCTGCTCGGCGGGGAGTCTGCTTCTCCCTCTCACCCTCCTCCCTCTCATGCTCTCTGTCTCTCATTGTCTCTCTCGCAAATTAAAAAAAAAAAAAAAAAAGAGTTCCCAAGGAGGACCTCAGAAAACCATATCTAGGGAGATACAAAGGTGTAAAAGAATCCTTACGAGGTTCGATGCTGCATTTATACCCATTTTCTATTTACAGCACCCAACAAATTATGCACAAAATAAATCAGCAAGTGCAACTTTAAACACCGTTTGCCTTTGAAAGGCTTGAGATGTCTAGGAACCTTCTGGTGGTCCACAGGGTGGCGTCCCACCCCAGTTCACACGAGAAGGCCCAGTTGTGCACCTCTCTCCAGAGTGTACGGCCTCCGCAGGAACTTACATGCTGTGCTCTCCCCGGGACAGGAAGGCTGCTCTAAGCAGGAACAGAGCTGTGTTGAAACAGTCGGGCTAATGGTAAACTTGACAAATCGAAGGAACAACAGATAACCAGGTGGGGATGCCTCCGGGCTGGTAGGGCTGGCGAGCAAGATGGAACCACACTGGGAAGGCCGGTGGGCCACCCTCCTCCCACGACCCCGAGGACCCCCCCACACCTGAGTCACGGGCCCCCTGAGGCTGTGGGAGGCAGGACTGACTACCATACAAACTTACTAAAAGGCCCAAATATTTTATTCGGCATTAATGAAAACATAATTCCAATCAGGGGGCCCCAAGCTTTAATGGGAAGCAGTTTTTAGGAGAATAAGACATCCTGAGAACAGAAAGTGCTAAGCTAGCCCTTACTGTTCTGTCCTGAAGACAAGGAGACAGGGTGTATGCCTTCCCCTCCTGAAAAACCCAGGATTTGCCAGAAGTCAGGATGGGGTGAGGACCCAGCTCATCCACCCAGTGCATCCGGTCTTGTCATTCTAAACTGAAGATGTATTTACCAAAAATCATGCCCAATCTGCCACGTTAACTACAGAAGTGGGTTTTATAACTTTAACTGCCCATAACATTCACTTGGGGTAAGAAACTGTATTGACTCATTTGTGTTTGTTCTAGAAAACCAAATTTGCTCATCAACTTTTTATGTAACATTTAACCTACGAACTATGATCTTTTACGGCTCCCAGACCCAATTCCAGAGTGGGGGGTAGGGTCCCCCCACAACACCAAGCTATTTGCAGATACCAGCAAGAATTCAACTCACTTCTGGCACCGTCTACCCGAGACAGCGCCAGACCCCACAGGTGATGGGCTCGGTCCCCAACGCTGCCCCACACACATTCAGGCGCCAGCCAGGAGCCCCAGGCTGTCACCTTTGCTTTATCTGCTTACAGATGGCAGGTTCCAACACCTTCCTCCTTAGGTTCTTTTCATTCGCTAGAGCGGCTCACAGAACTCAGGGAAACTGTTAGTCATGTTTACCAGTAAAGGATACAATAAAGGATGTGAATCTACAGCTAGATGGAAAAGGAAGGGGGCGTGGGGCTACCATGCCCCCGGAGGGCCTCCTGTCCCCAATCTCCATGTACTCACCAACCTGGAAGCTCTGTGATCCCGTCCTCAGGGGTTTTTAGGGAGCTAGAGGTGGGAGCTAGGGGTGGGACTGGGAGTTTCAACCCAAGAATCACAGGACTGGTTCCCCTGGCAACCAGCCCTCCCAGCCCTGGGGAGGGGTCTAAAGTCTCCATTAACATAACACAAAACACCCTCTGGCCCTTTGCTACCCAGGAGTCCAAGGGTCTGGGGAGCAGGGAGCCTGAAGCCATGAACAAAGACCACATCCAAATGAGAAATATAGTTTGGTCATCTGAATGACCAATCTGTGTATCTTCTAAATCCCGATATGGCATGTGACTGTTACCTAATTGAGGTGTGATCAACCCCACCAAGAGGAGACACCTGACATAACCTCCTGAAGTTAGAAAGACCTATCTGTTCTTCCCGGCGAGCAGAAGCATTTTACAAGCTGATACAGTCTCAAGTTTGCATGAGGCGATGCTACATAAACGCCCCATCATCAAACCCGCCCAGGGCCCTGGTGGGCAGCTCCCTGTGGCCATCACTTGAGGCTGGGGCTCCAGGGAGCAGGTCCCTGAGGGCTCGTGCGGGGTGTGGGTGAGCTCAGGCTCAATGAGAACCACGCTCAACGAGAACCACGGAAACCCCAAAGGCACAGGCAGGTGAAAACCCCCTTTGAACTTTCCCAAAGTAGCAGGTGAGCCTGGGAGAGTTCCCAACAGGAACGGGGTGGACTGAGATGCAGTTACTGTTCAGACACAAATGCCCTTAGAGGTATGTGTGCATGACTGCAGGCCCCATGACCAGTACTGGGGACCCTGTGAGCAATACTGAGGACATCCATGGTGAGTACTGAGGACCCCTATGAGGAGTACTGGGGACCCCCCAATGGGAAATACTGGGGATCCTCATGACAAGCACTGGGAACCCCCACCAGGAGCACTGAGGACCCCATGTGAGGAGCACTGGGGGCCCCCACCAGGAGCACTGAGGACCCCATGTGAGGAGCACCGGGGGCCCCCACCAGGAGCACTGAGGACCCCATGTGAGGAGCACCGGGGGCCCCCACTAGGAGCACTGGAAGCTGAGCTGCAGGATAATCTCTGCCAGGGGGTGCGGAGGTTCCGAGAGCAACTGCAGGACTGGCTCCTTCACGTCAGGACAAGAAACGCACGATCTGGGCGGACTGCGCCATCCGCTCAGTCAGAGCTTATCCTTAGCAGAAGAGGGTCACGCACGGGCAGCTCTGTTCTGGGCCACGGCGCACTGTTCACCCAGCGCAGCGGGCTCAGACACTGCCTCACACCCTGGAGACCACCTGTCCCGCCCTCCACCGCCCCACCTCTGGCAGCCGTTCCGACGGCCACGCACAGATACATTTGCTCCTACGTCCAGCCAGTCCAGCCTTAGTAAGGGGACACACATGCGGTTTCTGGAAGCAAAGCCCGAGCTCCCCATGTACGGAGGTGGCTGGCTCTCAGGAATACCTTGTCCCAGGACACCAGCGGGGGTGGATGCTCCAGTCCTGCGTCTTCTTTCCCACGTGTCAGCGCACCCGGAGGACGGCTCACCTTCTCAGTGCTCCTAAAAGGCTCGGGATTAGCGCAGACCTCTAGAGAAAAAGGAAAAACCAGGTCTGAAGACTGCAATGTGCAGCCAGGAGACGGCACATCCTGCATGCCGTGAGCAAAAGTCACACTCGGGTTAATGCCACCTGCCTCCTGTGGGGTCATGGAGTCGGGTGCCTGTGGGATCTGCCTCTGAGTGGGGGCCGTGCCCACGTTTGGTACCTCTTCTGTTTCTAACTCACTAATACAGTGTCTCGGAGGTAAGCCAACGCCAGGCAACGTCAGGGAGCTCCCAGGCCAGAGCCCACGCTCACAACCGCACCCAGAGGGCCATCCCTCTCTCCTCCAGGGCTCAAGGCTTCCAAATCAGGGAATTGGGCACAAAACGGAGGGAACCACAGTCCCAAAGACCAGGCAGGGATCTGCTGGGCCAACGTGAAAACCAGTAAGACGCCCCAAAGTTTAAGAGCCAGGATGCTCCCACAGGAGGCCTCTGGACGTGTCCTGCTCAGCTCCCGGGGCCAGCCAGGCCAGCATCCACCTGCCTCGCCTGCTGGGAGCAGATGGAGCAAGCGTTAGAAAGAAGGCCACAGGCCACAGATGGAATCACTCAGGCCAAGTCAGCAAACCAGGGCTTCATACGTAACCTAACTACGCCTCCAGCCTCCCCCAAAAGCTGTCTTAACAGTCAGTCAGGAATTTCCGGGTCAGCATCAGTGATGTAATCTGTCACGAGGCCCCCTCAGCCCCCGCCAAAGGAAGATGAGGTGACCCACCTAATGAGACCCCCTGCCCTTCCCCTAAGGGAAGGTGACCTTGCCTGGAACAATCCTCGCTTGTCCTTTGCTAATAATTTCCTCGTCCCACCATCCTTCCTATAAAAATCTCCCATTTTGCACTATGCCTGAGAGCATATCTCCTCTTGCTGGATGGGATGTTGCCAGAGTCATGAATTGCTTAACAAAGCCAATTAGATCTTCACACTTACTCGGTGGAACTTCTTTTTTAAGCCATCTCTGCACCCAACGCAGGGCTCGAACTCGCGACCCCGAGATCAAGAGTCACACGCTCCACCGACTGAGCCAACCAGGCGCCCTGGAGTTTTGATTTTCAACCCAAGAATTGCACACGGTTTAAAACCATTGAAGCGGGCGCCCGGGTGGCTCAGTTGGTTGAGCGACTGCCTTCGGCTCAGGTCATGATCCTGGAGTCCCTGGATCGAGCCCCGCATCGGGCTCCCTGCTCGGCAGGGAGTCTGCTTCTCCCTCTCCCACTCCCCGTTTGTGTTCCCTCTCTCGCCGTGTCTTTCTCTGTCAAATAAATAAATAAAATCTTTAAAAAAAATAAAAAATAGAAAATAAAAATAAAACCATTGAAGCGGATGCCAGGTTCAAGGGTGTCTGCGATGCCACTTTCTCTAGTCCTGCAGATGCTTGGAAACGTCCACAATCAAAAGCTAAAGGAAGTATTTCTACGGAGCCCTGGCCCATCACAGAGCCTGGGACCCTTTACCTTTACCTGGAGACACGCAGCCCCCAGAGCAGGTCCCCAGAGCAGGACTGGGATGTCGGGTGGAAGAGAGGGTGTGCTCTGAGTTGGTTTCCCTCTGGGCCCCTCCAACACCCAGCCCCTGGCTTCCATCAGCCGCATCACCACTGGACGCAGGAAGCCAAGCTGTGGGTGCTGACGCCTAGCCAGCAGAGCCCGCCGTCCCCAGCGCCGTCCCCAGCGCCCCCCAGGCAGTAACACTGACCTTCAACCTCCCCAACCTCCCAGGACGACATCCAGTCCGATTTAAATATTTTGAGTCAACACCACTATTTACTATCAAGACTCCAGTGGATTTGTACCTCATGCTAGTAAAAGGCGACCCAAATTAACCTACAAGCCATGTTCCTGAGGCTTCTTTAAAAATACGCTGAGTGAGGGGCGCCTGGGTGGCTCGGTCGTTAAGCGTCTGCCTTCGGCTCAGGTCATGATCCCAGGGTTCTGGGATTGAGCCCTGCATCGGGCTCTCTGCTCAGCGGGAAGCCTGCTTCTCCCTCTCCCACTCCCCCTGCTTGTGTTCCCTCTCGCGCGGTCTCTCTCTGTCAAATAAATAAATAAATTCCATTCCCCACAATGTTCACATAAGAATCACGAGGGTTAGTTTTGTGTTGGATTCAGTATGGATGTCAGAGCCCTGCTCCTGCCAACACACACACCAGGTACATCCACCTTGCTAGTATTTAAAGCTCCTCATGTCTGCCAAGGGCATGGCCCGAGTGGAGAACTCAAATATTCCTTCGACCTGAAGTAACACTGGAAATTAAGTTTCAAGCAACCATTTAAGATTTTTATTTTAAAATATTAATAATGGAAGTATCGTCCTGTGTTAGCACGGGGGAAACCCCAGCACTGTGGCCATGAAGCATCCCCTCGCCGCTAACCTGGGCACCCCCATCACGTGGCTCCACAGGATCCCCCCGCAGACACCGTGGTTCTCAAGGTACAGCCCCTGGAACGGCAGCAGCCCCCTCCCAGACCCCCGGAGGCAGAATGTCCGGGGCAGGCCCCATAATCTGGTTTCAATGAGCCCCCCAGTGAGTCTGATGCCCTCGAGTTTGGAGATCCCAGGAGAGGTGGGTAAGGAAGGGTCTGGGTCCAGACAGGAGTTCCGAAGCCCGAAGTGTCCCTGACTGGCAAGCTCGGGGCAAGCGGCCCAGTGTCTTTTATTCCATACTTCCTCACCAGAAACGGGGCTAGGGCGGCCCTTCCCTGGAGGTGTGGGCTCGGGTGGACTCAGGGCTGTGGCCTTTGCTGGGATCTCCGCACAAGGAGCCCCAGTCAGCGGCTCTGGTCCCAGCTCCCCTTCCCGGGCCCTTACCGAATGGCACTCCATCGGAGGCTCTCGGGAGTGCGGCGCCACAGAAGGACCAGAAGCAGGCGGCCCAGACGCACCTAATGGGGTGGGAACGAACAAAGGGGTGAATAAAACGAACAGTTTTATTCACAGACAGCCTGTGCCCTCTCTTCCGTCCATATCTGTACTTTGTGCCCAAACGAACGAAGGACGCAGTTGGCCGCACACTGATGGAAAGTTCCTTCTATGGTTTTTTGACTGTGTTTTCCAAGTGTGGGGCCTGGTCTCAAACCGTGACTTGAAACAGATTGCTCATCTTACTATTAAAACAGCCTCCCAGGTGCCTGGGGGGGTCAGTTAAGTGTCTGACTTCAGCTCAGGTCATGATCTCAGGGTCCTGGGATCGAGTCCCACATCGGGCTCCCTGCTCAGGGGGGAGCCTGCTTCTCCCTCTGCCCCTTCCCCCCACTCATGCTCTCTCTCTCTCTCGCAAAAATAAGTAAAATCTTAAAAAATAAAAATTAAATAAAAAATATAGTAAAACAGCCTCCCTCCCTTCCCCTACCTGCTGTGGCCTCTCAGGGCCAGGGGCACCCACATCTGCGTCCACAGGGCCGCTGGCCTTCCAGAAAGATCCATGTGCAGTGAATCAAATAGCCCTGAACCGAGGTGCAGGGACTGGGGTCTTGACCAGACACGGCGTGCCATTCGGGGATGCTACCCAGGCCCACCGCCCCCTCCAGGGTCCCATGCATCTGCACTGCAGGTGTTAATCCTGTTCCCGAGGCTGGGGCTCGCCTCCCCGTGAGAACACGTGCAGACTTTGCAGCAAGCGGTTTCTTACCTCTCTGTGCGCCTGCGAAGCGGGGAGGGTATACACTTTAATTTAAGCAAGGACTTCTGCAAAGGGAAGACTATTTTTACGAAACCAGCTTCTTGATGCAATGACCAGGTAGCTGCCAGCAGAGGGCAGACGAGGACCCCTTATGGAGACGGGCGGGGGTGGGGGGGACCGGGGAGTTCTGACAAATGGGGACGGTCCCGGGCTGAGGGCCTCTGTTCAGCTGCTGAGTGAGTCACCCGAAGGGTCTCCTTCCCACCCCTGACCACACCTATCTCCCACAGGCCAGGGAACTGAGAAAAGGAAAAAGCAGAAACGAGACTGCTTGGAACGGTGCACATCCTACAGCAAAACTAGAGGGACTTCTGCGAGGATGGGGGGGGGCGCGGGGGGCGGTGCAGATCAGACCGGGAAGGCCCCAGGGGACCTCTACCCACTGCAGGCGCCTGCCCCCCACGCAGATGGAATCAGTTAGTGGCCATCGAAGCTCCTCACGAGGAGCCACCAAGACTCCACAAGCACCAAGAACGAGAGCTTCCGCTCCAGAGCTGGGCCGGCAGCCGAGCCCAGGACCCCACGGGGGCTCTGACTCTGACTGCACCACCCCCACCTGCCTGGCCTTTCTCCGCGGGCGGGGGCGAGGGCCGGAGAGGCACAGGGACTCACAGAAGGTGGTATGGGGGACATTTCTGCTGATCAGCTCTATCAAGGAAAACCTACACATGCCCAAAGCTGTAAGACCCCCAATGTGAACAGACACAGCAGCGGGGAGAGCAGGAACCCCCCATGTGAACAGATGCACCGGGGGGGCGGGGAGATCGGGGACCGCCCCCTGTGAACAGAGGCACCAAGGCAGAGAGCAGGACCCCCCATGTGAACAGACACACCAGGGGGAAGAGCAGGACCCCCCATGTGAACAGACATACCAGGCGGGAGATGAGAGACCCCCTGCCATGTGAACAAATGCACCAGAGGGGAGATCAGGGACCCCCCCATGTGAACAGATGCACCGGGGGGAGAGCAGAGACCCCCCGGCCAACATGTGAACAGACGCACCTGGCGGAAGAACAGAGGAATCTGCATCTGGCCAGGCCCTGGGGGGAAATTGCCAGAAGCGCTATCTATCCGCTTTGCCTTTTTTGCCTTTAGTTCTTTCCCCGTGTTTGTTCCTTCGGTGGCTGGGCTAGGAGTCTGTGCCCCGGGAACGCCCCCTGCTAAGGTCCTTCAACAGGATCAACCCCCCACCACCTCCTGGGCAAGAGCCGCCCGTCACAGAATCCTCAGAGGCCGTGGATGCCCCGTGCCTCCGGGTGGTTTCCAAGGGAGGGACCCTGCCTGTGAGCCCTGTGGCTACAAGGGGACCACGGGTCCTATGAGGAAGAACTCGGGACTGCGAGGGGTCAGAGATCACGCGCACATGGCACAGTTTCACACATTCACAGACACGAGCACACACACACACAAGCACACGTGTGTAATCACACCCGTGTGCACACTCACAAACAGGCCAGCGCACGCCCATGATGGATACACAGAAGCACACACACACACAGGCAAACACACATGGGCAAATACACAAACACGTTAAGCCTAACTCCGTGGAATACTCCTTTTGAAAGAAAAAGTCCCGAGTGCACCCTTGAAAATACAGCTTATCAAAGTCCCTGAGACCAGCACCGCTCACCTCTCCGGATCATCAGAAACGCCTTTCAGGGATCCCTGGGCCCTCGGGACCGAGGTCCTTCCCGGTGTCACTGGGTCCGGGCTCTGGCCGCAGCAGTCAGCCCGCTGGCTTCCCCCTGCGTCCCCTGGAAGACAGTGGTCGGGGGGGAGCTTATGCTCATACCCGGACATCCGTCCCACATGGGGGAGCGGAAACCCTGCCAATAATATGCTCCCCACCGAAAAGTTTGCTTCCCTAATACTTCCACAGAAAGCTTCTCTTATTAAGTGCAGGGCTCTCTGTGAGTCGGTCTGAACCGGGCCGGCACTCCAGGGGAAGAGGGCGTCTGGCGGCGGAGAGTCAGAGAAACCCCAGCACCCACGACGGACACCATGTCAGGGAGGAGGACTGACGGGGGACCGTGGCCCCTCGGCGCCGCCCTGTCCCTGCTCCCACCTGCGCCCCACCGCTGCTCACCATTCCCGGGGCTAGCCTCGGGATAAAAGTCTCTCTTCTTCATCTATTTGTCAATTTCCTTAATTCTTTATGTTGACGTTCTAATTGAATAGGGATTTTACAAAAGTGAGTTTTATTTCGTGTTTTCCCTAGAAAACTAGACCACTTTTCTGTCTGCTCCAGGAGTGTTTATGGGTGCGCAAGGCCCTGGAGAAGAGGGGGTGCCACGTGGGGGCACGTTTGGTGGCAGAAGCTGGTTCCCAGGTGGGGAGGGTGGGAGGGTCCTGGGAGGAAGACTAAGGAGGGTGCCAGTTCCCGGAGCAGATTTCTCACAGTCCTGTGATTTCTAGAGTGTTGCTGGGGCCCTATGATCGGGCAGGTGAGTACATAGGGCCTGGAGCCCCTGCTGGGTTCAGGGCCTGCACGCCCGCCCCCTGGCCTCCCCAGCGCCTCCAAGCCCCCTTCGGCTCTTCTCTGCGGGGAAACTGTACTTTCCAGCTTTACCACTAAAGGCTTTCAAATGAACTGTGCACACAGGAAGGATCCACTGCAATCAAATACCCACCGAGCTGGCAAACAAAGCCCTTCTCCAAAGCTCTGCAGCTGTCACCTTCCTGGGGGGATATGAAGGCTCACCTCCACCACCCTGAGCTGGCATTAGGCAATACGCTCCTGGGTGTTCCCTCCTGGGTGGGCCCCAGGATCCGGGGTTGAAGCTCCCAATATGCTGGGACACAATAAGGAGCCAAGCAGTGACCCACGGAGAAGAAATGTCCCTGCGCCGTCCTACACGCCGTAGCCGCCTGGGGCTGAGTTTCATTAAAATAAGATTCCATGTCTCCATCACGTTAGCCACGTTTCAAGGGTCAGTGTGGGACACAGAACATTCTGGGTGCCAGGAGACCCTGCAACCAGTGGGGGGCTGTGGGCCAGGCCGCCCTGGGAACAGGAAGCGTGAGGACGCAGGGACGCCACGGAGGTGAGGGTGGCCCGCTCTGCAGCAGATGGGACAATGTCATAGGAGCTTTTAGGACAGATGCTCCGGATGGAATCAGTTAGTGGCTTTAAGAAACGGACATCGAAGCTCCTCACGAGGAGCCACTACGACTCCGTCGGGAGTCACCTACCTTCCTGGAGGCTTCTCCCCACAACTTCCCTGCACCAGGACTGAACCCCTGGGAGAACCTTCCAGAAGGCAAAGTACCCAATACAGCCTTCCAATCTTCTGTGGCTTTTGCTAAATTTCAATGAATAAAGGCCACCTATTTAGAATTTTTTTTAACTACAAATTCGTATTTGGGATTTAATGCCCAGTGCACAAGGGCAGCATGGTCTACACACCGTCCACCTCAGTGCAGACCTGGGTTCTGCTGTGACAGCATGACTCCCTACCCCCTCCCTGCCCCTGGATGGAGTTTAAGCTGGGCTCACACCTGGCACATTACTCCTACCCTCATGTGCCTTCTGCGCCCAGAGGCCCCACACACTCACTGTCCTCTTTAGATGCCCCAAGCCTCCCCCACCAGCACACACAGCATCAGAGCGGGGGTGAATTCGGTAATTGTGTTGCAGGAAAGGTGAGGGGAGCTGCTAAGATGTTGGTGGTGGAGACTTACCTTCCCTTGAGCTGACCCCAGGAAAGGGCTGCAACAAGAAGAGCAGGGGCAGGACTCGCAGGAGCACCCTCCAGCCCGGACCCCCACAGACCGCTCCCATGGGCCTCCTGCTCGCACCCCAAACCGTGGCAGGCACCCACAACGGGCCTGTCTCACCCGACAGCTCTCCCCTGTCCCAGCAGCAGAGGGCCTGGCCCTTAGCACCTTGCCCATCGGCCAATAGGGAGCTTGCTAGGTGGGGGAACTAGGGTGTCACCCACCCATTCCCCGCCCCCCCCACCGCTGCCCTCCCCCCATCGAGGCCTAGGGGCATCCGCCCCTCAGAGGAGCCGTCCTACCTGGTGTGAACGTGCAGCGGAGAGTGTAGGTCCAGCCAGGGAGGCACCGTATGAAGTGGGTGAGGGTGACAGCGAGGGGGCGCCCTGCATTCCCAGCAGAGGCCAGGACAGGACGCTGGCAAAGCCCTTTTCCAGGTATGAGAAACATCTGCTACTCCTGCCCCTAGAAGAGCGACCGTCCTACACACTCAAACACTCGCTGAGTCAGTACGCAGCACCTGTCCCTCTAGAATCTCCTCTTCTCCCCACGGGCTTCAAAAGAAAATTAAATATCCATAAACCGGTATTTAAACACCCTCATAAGTGATCAAGCCCAAATGCCTGGGGCGCTCTGGTTGGGGGGGGGGGTAGGGCTGCCAACCTGATGGCCGGATCTGGTTCCTAATTGTTCTCCCTCCTTCTCCCTCTCCTACCCCCTCCCTCCTCCCTCTTCTTCCCACTCCCTCCTCCTACCTCTTCTCTCCCCCCTCTTCGCTCTACGACCTCCTCCCTCCCTTCTTCTCTTCCACCTTCCTCCCTTCTCCTCTCCCCCTCTACCTCTTCTTCCCCTCCTCTTCCTTCTCATCCCCCCTCCCTCCCTCCCTCCCCCTCCTCCCTCTTCTACCCCCTCCCTTTCCCCTCTCTATCTCTTCTCTCCCCCCTCCCTACTCCCCCCTCCCTCCCCCCCTTATCCCCCACCCCTTTCCCTCTCCTTCTCTGCAAAGTCACAGGGACACTGACAGGACACAGATCATCACAGAAGTCATTATTCAGCACTGAAGACTTCAGTGATCACTTTGATTTTTCTCTTGCAAAATACATTATGAGCAGGAAAATAACACAAGCACTTTTGCATTCACCTTGTTCCAAGGCAGTCATTAAGAAAAGCACAACACACAGATTGGGGGGATTTCATAGGGTCCACAGTACACACTGAGCAGGGGAGGACTGCTGGTGGCACCCCCGTCCTGCGTGGGCCCTGCCCGCTGGTCTCTTTTCTCCTTCGACCTTCTATCTGGAGTAGCTTCTCCCTGAAATCTACACCCATCAAAGCTATTGTTCCAGATAACCGATATATTATAAAATAGAAATAAGATCACCTTTGGAAGCCTTTGCTATGTCCGACCACTCAGGCCACATGATGTAGGTCAAACACTGCGTGTGCTCCTTCAAGAGGCTTCAGGACACGCCCCTGTCCCGGGCCCTCTGGGCAGGGGCCCCTCTAAGCTTCTGGAAGCTCCTGCACAGCCGAGAGCCACCACTGACTCTCCGGGTCACTTCAGACGTGTCCCCTATGAAGGGAGGTCCCCTGCGTCCCCAGGAGCAGTTGAGCCACCAAACACCCCCCAAAGCACCCTGAGCGTGAGGTGACAAGCCGGCACACTCCAGACATTGGTGGAGCCCATGCTGCAGGATCTGGGCCAGGGCGTGAAGGTGAGCAGGGGGCACGGCCCCCACCTCCTTGCAGGCTTGCCCCCAGTGAGAGGAGCAAGACCAAGGGACAAAAGCAGGAGGGGATGCCCTCGCCCCAGTCCCACTGTCACCCTCCCCGCTCCTCCTGCTGGCTGAGGGTGGGGAAGCCCCCACCCAGCAAACCAGACCTGGGGTTTCCCTCCCTAAGGAGGACGGAGGGGTTCCGGCCACCCTCTGCTAGGAGTGCAGCGCTGTGGTCAGGGTGTGCTGGGAAGCGTTGACCAGACCCTCCTGGGCGCCACTGGGCAGGCCCACGAGGACCAGTCTGGGTTCTGGTTTCTAACCCTCCTCCACCACTCAGAAAATGCCTGAGGGCTGCACTTCCCTTCAACCCCACAGAGGCGGCCTCTCTGAGATGCTAAGGCCCGGACCGGACAGGGTTGCAGAGCCGGCGTCTCCCCATGTCTCCCTGCGTCTCCCTGGGTCTCTGATGGAACCAGGGCTCGCTCAGCAGGGCTCGGGGAGGGGGCCCCATCCCCGTGCTCCCAGGGGTCTTCCCTCTGGGCATCACAGATGTGCGAAGCGCCCCCCCCAGCCCAGTAGCCTGGGCCCCAGCGGCTGTCATGCTCTCCTCACCACGCACTCGGGCTAGCCCGGGGTTGGCTCCTTCGCAGGCCGGGACGCAATCATTCTGCAGCGCACTGTTACCTCGTTGACGCACGACTCAGCGACTCAGTGCTGTGACCCTCCTGTGATTTCAACACGACTCGTGAGAGTTTACTTTTCTGCTCAGGAAAGGACACGCGTGAAGATGAAGAGTCTCAAGGCCAATGGTGAGGAAACTGCCTTTGCCAGCGATTACGGACTGCATTCAGATAATAAATACTATGACTCAGTCCCTAAAAATAATTTATTTTTTTGTAACAAAACCGATTGTAAGAGTTTCAGAAGATACTTACGTTTACAAAGACTGAAATGAAACGTTCACAAATAATCAGGTTTAAGCGCTGGTGTATATTTTTCCAACCTTTTTCTATCACCACACACGTGATCATTCTCAGAACCGGAATCCGACGGTAACACACCCGAACCACCCATCATAAACACTGCGCCACATACATCAGTACGCTGTTTCTGTAACGTTACTTTCAGAGCAGGAAATACCGGCAGGTGACAGACTATTTAACAAATCCCCTAGGGATTCATACTTAGACTACTTCAGGACTTTTTAGTACAAGAATACCAGAACCCCCTTGATTATAATCTCTGTGGAAATTCCTATAATCAGAAGTATTGGGTTGAAGGGCACACCGGACTTTTTACGGCTTTCCACACCCAGTCAATACCCAACCAGACCCCAGGGTGTCTGTGGGGTTAATGTAGCCTCTCATCCCATCTGGACAGACTTCCTGCCTCCTGGCTCAAGGACACTGAGAAGCTGAAAAACCCACAGGGGCTCGGGCTTTCTTTCAGACCCCCCACTGGAATCCACATTCAAGGACACGATTGTGTCTTTTCACAATGCAGCCGCGCCCATTGGGCGACATCCACCAAGAACAGGAATGCCACTCAGCGCCTTCACCACCTGGACAGAACCACGCTTCCAGCCCAGGAAAACACGGAGGCCAAGTGCCATGGTCGCTGGAGTAGGTCTTTGCCGGGCCCGGGAGACCCAGGAGGAGGGTGACGCACCGGGTTAGGGATTCTTAAACACGTCTGAGCCTGAGCACCGGGGACAGCCCCATACAGTCACAGCGAGCAGAGCGTGTCTCTAAAGTGCAGGACGCGGGCGAGAGACCTCGGCACTGGGAGGTGTTAGTCTTGAAAATACGTTACCTGTTCAAATGATACTCATGTGTCTAAGCTGAGCTAACAGACCTTCACCGTGGTGCACTGCTCAGTACAGCAGCACGGTGGCTTCCCTAAGCCCGTGGCGGGGGGCCATCCTCGGTCAAGGCTCCAAGAGGCAGAGGCCCAGGCCAGCATGAAGCAGGGAGTGCTGCCGAGAAGCAGAAACAGACCCCCCCACACACCCTGACCCGCAAGGACGGCCTGCGTGGCCATGTGCACACGGAGACCCGGGCTATCCCTAAAACCATCACAATCAGGTATTGTTTAAACAAACAATACATAAATCAGAGGAAAATTACATGTGGTTTTAGGACATTTTAGAAATTGCAAGCGAAGCTGCTTTACTATAGCAGAGTTATAACGAAGATCCTCTTCCCAGACTCATGAAATGATTGGTGGACACTGAGTCTGAAACGCAGGACTCATTATTCCGGCCACGCAGCGGAGCCTGGAGGAGAGGGTTACTGATCAAGTCAGATGCCTGGATCCTAGTCCCATCCCTGCCACGGGCCGTGTGGCCCCGGGCAGGCCACGAAATCCACTCTGCCAAATAAAGAATCCATGTTGCAGAATCTCAAGTATCTGTGCAACTCTGGCTGGACAGACCTGGCCCACAACACCGGACGCCCAAGGACAGGATGCCAAAAATACGCAAGCTACGCGCTGGGGCAGAGAACCGAGACACACCGCGCCAGACAGGCGAAGAGGTGGGCCATTTTACCACTAACTTATACTAAAACCAGTGTTTTATTTCATTATACATTAAACATCATTTAAATAATCAGAAGGAACCAATTTCCCAGATTGGTAACAGACTACTACATTTTCTTCAACCAAAAAAAAAAAAAATTTATAAACTATTTTCAGACCTTGCTTCATTGAACATCATGACTTCTAAGTTTTACCGCTGCAGTCAAAGAGAGGAGAGAGGCTTGACAATTAAAACGGTATGCTGGCTTTCAAGAGTTACCTGAACAAATATTATATCTTATGTGAACTCCCGTTGATAAGCATCCGAAGATGGGCTCAAATGCTGGTTCTGGTTTGACCACGTACTCAGAAAAGGCCACAAAAGAATCTTCCACTTGTGCAGATTTCCCCCTTCTTCCTCTTACCCTAGGCCACAGCCTCACTGCTCGGCTCTGTCACGGGAGTTAAGACACTGTTCACAGTGTCCATCCACAGGGCAGAGGAGACTCCCCCACCATGGGATGTGATGGGACAGGCCATGGGGGATGAGAAAGCAGACCCAGCAGAGCACAGGCCGGCTCGCAAACAGACACACAGACGTGGTCTCAGCCCTGAACACAGGCTCACGGAGCTCTTCTCTGCCTAAATGCACGGGTGTGCTTTCCAGAATGACCGAGCGCTGCACGTGGAAGACAGGGGTGGTAAAGACCGTAACTGGGGGCCCACACAGGTTTCAGGAACCCTGGCAGGTCCGGCAGCTGAGCCCAGGGGCTCTGGCCTTCACGTGGCGCAGTCGGACACCCCTGGACAGCCCCCCTGCTGCTCTGGGTGACCTCTGCGTGCCCAAGGCAGCAGGAGGGCAGCCCTGGCCAGTTATCAGGCTCCGAGGAGCAGAGCCAGAGTTGGGCAGTGTCTGGGAGCCTCAACCTACCTGAAGTCTGGATAAATACATGCTTTTGTCCCCATTTTCCATTTCTTGACAATAAAACAGACACGAGAACAAAGAAGTCACATAAAGTAGTATGTTTATCCAACTATCTTTCGTGAACTCAATTTTTAGCTAAAATACCATGGAGGGAAGAGAAGGAAAATGTACAGACGTGCGTGGCCGTGAGGACACATCGCTCCCGGGCCACGAGTTGGTCTAGGAGAAAGCCGGGATGAAGTACTGCAGGGAAACATCTTCATGGAGCAAATCAAAATGGACAATCTTGTTACTGACAATGTCTGCGGAGAGAAGAAAACCTGTCACCACGAAGACCCCTCTCACTGAGCCCCTACGTCATCTCCTGGAGCCCGGCCTCCTCGTGCTCTGCTCCCCGCCGCGGGACCGGCCCACAGGCAGGGGGGACAAGGCCCAGGACTTGGGTGAAAAGGCCCCATTTACTGAAATCAGGATCCTTCCAGGAAAATGCAGTTTCCCACCCAAGAGCAACCTAAGTGTGCAGAGAAGGCCCAGCACTAGGGCCCACCTCCCCTGGGGGACAGATGTGGTGTGTGCCAAGGTGTAGGAGGGGTGCACATCGCGCCAAGGCCCAGGTCGGGCACCGTGCAGGGTGAAGGGCAAACTTCCCGGGGGGCCGCTTGGTTCAACAGCAGTGAGAGGTGGGGGCGGGAGTGGCGCAGGGAGCCAAGGGCAGGCTGCTCTCCAGGCCTCCGAGGCCAGCAGCTGGGACCACATGGAGCCCATTAGGGTGGGCCAGGCCAAGTGCCAGGCTGAGGAGGGACTGGTCCCAGGGGATGGGGGGGTGGGGAAGGGGCACAGCACCAGCAGAAACACCCCCCAGGAGAGGCAGCAGGTGGAGATGGAGGGCGTGGGGCAGTGACCCCGGAGGGGGTGGGGGCAGTGGATCGGACACCTGGAAGGTGCCACCCCAGGGGCAGAAACTACAGGCGGGAAAGGATAGGAGAAATCCAAATCCAAATTTTGCTGTCACAATCTCCTGGTCCATCTCTGCCACTTTTGGGGGCCCCTAAGTCCCCTTTCTGAGGGCACCAGGAGCTCAGCTGGCCACCTGGCCCAGAACCAACAAGGCCCTCTGTCCTCAGTGGTCCACGAGGGCGTGCTCAAGGGCAATGCCACCCCACCACTGGGCTTTCGCTCTGCACAGGGCACGGCTGGGTTACACTGGGGCCACTCGAAGGGCTCGCCAGGACCACAGCCAGCAGCCTGTCTGGAGCTCGTCAGCAGATGGGGGGACCGTCTTCAGCCTGCGCAGACCCCACGCTGAGGTGCAGCTCCTACCCTCAGCCCCAGGAACAGGCAACAGGCCAGGCCAAGGGTTCTCAGGATGCAGCACACGGGGACACCGGTACCTGCCCCAGGACCCAGCCATTCCAGCGTCTCCATCCCTAACCTGGGCCCTCTGTCCGCACACCACCTCCTGTGCCCCATCAGCCCATCTAGTGCCTTCTGGACGCGCTAACTGCCCTCCCGTGATCTGCTTCGCTGTGTGTCTCTCCTTCTGGAGGGCTGTCGTTCCTTGGCACGGGGCCCTAGAATTCTCTATTCCTTGTCTTGAGTGCTGGCAATCTGCCAACGGTCGGGTGCACACCTGGGCTGTCCTCAGCTCCACTCCCCGGCTGAGTGCTCAGCCTGACAGTTCTTCCATGAAAGGTGGAGCTCCCTCTTGGTTGCCAAGGAGACAGAAAAAGCCTTAAAAAGTTCGGGGGCGAGTAAGCCCTTCCTCATGTGTCAATAAGTGACGAGAGCCAAGAGGCAGGTGCACAGCCAAGTTAGATAGGGCCAACCCCGATCAAGGGACCACTGTGAAAAATCAGGAGGCGAGAGAAAGCCAGACGCCCAGATATGGGACAACTGCAGGAACCACTCAGGTTTAGACCCAGAAAGGCAACAAAGGCAGAGCAGGGGACCTTCAGTCCAAGCCCAATTTATGGGGTCAGGGGCTCCTTGTGTCAGGTCAGACCAACAGGGCAGGACTGGACGATCAGCACCCGTTCTCCAGAAGCTTCTCCCCAGGTACAGACGCCCACACGACGGCCAGGTGAGGCAGCCACAGCCCCGTGCCAAGCCAGCGCGGCGGAGGGCCACCAGGCGCTGCTGAATCCAGGAAAACCCAGACCCCCACCGGCCCTAGAGCACTGGGTCCCTGCGGCTGAGCTGTGTCTGCACTATGAGACCGCATACCGCCGCGAGTCTGCCTCTGATTACGGAATCGGAAACGTGAACAACGATCCCCGCGTACTCACTGCACACGGCCTTCGTGGGATTCACTTGCTGCCCAGCGAGGAACTGCAGGAGCTTCCGGATGTCTATGTGCACCTCAGCCATCTGCTCTGGGTCTCTATCCCGAGAGGCGTCTTCAGAGGCTACAAAGACATGAACAGCTCGGGACGAGACAGGGAAGCTCGGGCAGCGTGATGACAGCTGAAATGAATGATTTGTTTCCGCTGGCTGGCGCAGCCTGGAGACCCACCAAGGTGTGAACACCGTCATGGCCAAGCAAGCAGGTAGCAAGTCCTTCTAAAACACTAGGCAAATTCCCAGCGAATCTTCCTTTACAGTGTCCTGCAATATGACCCACTCTCCCCATTTTCGTCCAAGACACCGGTCCCTATTAGTACCCTGGAACGTACTGAGGAGCAGGACCACACAGAGCTGACCCAAGACCACTCCTTTGAAAGGAGAATGAAAAGAAAGAAAAGATCCTTTTGACCCTGGGCAAGCATCAAAGACAAAACCCTTACCGTAATTTATTAAAATAAAACAAGTAACACCGAAGGCGGTCATTTCACCCAAGAGTTAGCAAAGCCTTAATCGTGTGGACTTCACTTGGCATACACGCCTCACTGTGAAGTAAAACCCTTTGCTGTGCCACTCTGATGGGCCTTTGATAACCCTTCTTGCACTTACACATTTTAACTGTGAAAGTGGTGGGTCTATCGTGTGGTTAAGAATATGCATGGGGGGAGGGGCACCTGGGGGGCTCAGCTGGTGAAGCGTCTGCCTTCAGCTCCGGTCATGATCTCAGGGTCCTGGGATGGAGACCCACACTGCTAGGCTCTACGCTCAGCGGGGGGGTCTGCTTCTCCCTCTCCCTCTGCCCCTCCCCCACTCACTTTCTCTCTAAAATAAATAAAATCTTAAGGGAAAAAAAAAGAACATGCATGGGACTAATCCAGTTTGCACGTCATCAGCGGACTTCCCGGGGCCCCGCCTGCCAACTGCTCTAGCACCCACTAAGTGCGCCGTCCCTGGCCACGAGCTCTGTGGACACCACTTGGGTCCCCCGTTCCCCCAGTCTGGTCAGTTACCCTGTCATTCGCTGCTACTAAATTGGTCCCATGGTCTTTGTTACTGTGTAGGGGAAGAAAACTGTGGTCAGGCGAGGAAAGCTGCCACCTGCTAATCTAATTTCATAAATACTAGGGGCTAAAAGTGGGAGGAAGCAAACCTTGTCTACCTTATGCCATTCCAGGTGAAAAATGGGCAGAACAGGCTACCAGGGTTCCCCAGGGACCACTGGGGCAGGTGCCATTCCTCAGGCCGGGGAGCCTGACCTTCCCCGCACGGGCCGTGCGGGCCTCAGCTGCCTGTTCCCTCCCTAGGCATGAAACTGAGATTTCTTCCGTTTTCCAGGCAGAGAGCTCAGCAAGCTGTGCCACCTGAAACAATGTATTACCCGCAGAACACGAACCTCCAGAAAACTTACCTGATGGAGGGTTCCCCAGGTCTTTAAAGTGAGTTGTAACACACACTAGTTCTGTTTCTATTTTCAAGTTCAATTCTCCACTTAGGTTTGCTTCGATAATCTGCAAATTGAGTTATTTTATAGTCGTAAAAAAGAAAAGGAAAGCAAGGGGGGGGGGACATCAGCTTCTGCCAAACCAGGTGACATGGCAGCCCCATAGCCCTAGACCACTCCCAAGGGCAGCGAGACCCACCGGGCATCCGCAGACACAGAGGATTCCAAAACCCCCGCCGGAAGCGGTGGGACTGGGAGGGGGCATGGGAGGCCTGACCCCAGGTCCCTGGGAAGAGCCAGCGGTGACAGGAAGCCTCGGGAGCAAAAGCGCAAGGTGAGCAGAACGGGGACGTGACGTTTACAGGAGGGAAGGACAGAGAGAGAGAGGTGACGTCGAAGGGGCCGCTACGGGGGAGGCAGCGTGCTGTGGTCACGAGGGACAGAGAACCCTAAGTTCTCGAGCTCCAACCGTCCTGGTCCCACTCCCACCCCGAAAATGAAAACCCGCCCTCTAAGAGGACTCCTAGAAGGACTGTGGTCAAGCCCCACACCAAGACCTTCGGGAAAGACAGAAACAGCGGCTGAAGAGCGCGCTCGGAGACGCAGAGTGACCCGCGGGGGGAACCGCCAATGACGGAAGGGAGAACGCAGAGCCTGAGGCCGAGTCAGGGGAGCTCAGAAGTGCCTGGCCAGGCCTCACGCAGGCACAGGCGGACTCGGAAAGGGAAGGAAACACTTCACCAGCGGAGACCAGACTGGAAGGACAGGAGCAGGGGGGCCCCGGAGTGTTACAAGACAGTGAGGACGACACACAGGACACACAAACTGCCCAGCAGCAACAGAGACCAAAAGACCTGAAGGGGACCCAGCGAAACGAAAGGAGGACTAGCAGTCCACAAGGAGCCCTGGAAACGGCAGAGGGGCAAAGCGCATGAAGGGACGCACCTACGGGGGACACTGCCCGCGCTCCGGGACTGGGGGGACTGGGGGGACTGGGGGGACAGGGGGGAGAGAGGGTTGCTGCCCGCGCGCTGAGGAAAACCGGCCGGAGCGGCCCACAGCGGCTCCAGAGAAGGTCCCTCGCCGCGCCTGTCCCACCACGAAAGCCACACTACTCTCAGTGACACAGAGAGGGCACGCGGCACAAGCCAGGGTGGCCCATCTTGCCAGGCTGACCTCGCCCAGACGGGGACACGAAGCAACGCGGCTCCCGCAAGTCCCTCCCAAGTGGCCGGCTAGACGACAGCTCGACGAGCCCACGGGCCGTTCGCTGTCCCTGTGCGGTGCAAACGGCACCCCACACTTACACGGGGCTGCGGGGGCAGAGTCCCGGGGAACCGCTTTACGCTCTGACAACGGAGACGTGGTGCACCTGCTACAAGTGGGAGGGGAACGTGCAAGTTAGAAGCTCGCCCACGGCCTTATTCTTTAAACGGCCAAACCTGTGTCCTAACTACCACCACAAAACCTCGAGAATTTCCTGGGAACATAACCCCTTACTTAAAAACCAAGCTCACGGGTTGGGCTGGGTGACTTGGGCTCGGTGACAGGCGCCGGCCACCCCCCGGTACCCGCCCTCCCTCCCATCCCTGCCCGTGACATTTCCAAGGTCACTCACAGCACTCCTTTCAAGCTCCAGCCTCCCCCACCAACCAGCAGGCTTTTGTAAGGGGACAAGATCCACCAGTGAAGTTCAGAGAGATCCGCCCGCAGCATGCTGTACTTCTCTCCGGGACGTCGGCACCTGCCCCTTCCTAAAGGCCGCAGGTCTTCGGGAATCCACATAGCCGTTTGCAAGGCGGAGTTCTGTTCACCCACCAACACAGGACACCCATGGGAAGACATGGGGCAGCAGAGGTCTGAGACCCGGGGGCAGCAGAGGGCGCCCTGCCCACACGGCTCTGGGCTCTGGGGCCACCACGTCTCTATACATAGTGAGCACGGTCTAGTATTCCTCATTCCTGTTCCCTAACAGTGGTGAACTCTTGAGGATTTCTCGTTCTAGAAACAAACCTGAAAACCTGTCTGAACTTGAGTGAGCACTTATCTCTGAGGGTTTTTTTTTTTTTTTTTAAAGATTTTATTTATTCATTTGATACAGAGATACAGAGAGAGAACATGAGCAGGGAGAGAGGCAGAGGGAGAGGGAGAAGCAGGCTCCCCGCTGAGCCAGGAGCCCTATGTGGGGCTCGATCCCAGGACCCCAGGATCATGACCTGAGCCGAAGGCAGACGCTTAACCATCTGAGCCACCCAGGCGCCCCTCTGAGGGGTTTTTTTAAGATTTTATTTTTAAGTCATCTCTACCCCCAATGTGGGGCTTGAACTCATGACTATGAGACTGTGAGCAGGAGGCCCACCAGAAGCCGGGCACGGACTCACATGCTCCACGGACTGAGCTGGCCAGGTGCCCCGGAGGCTTTGGAAATTAAATAGAAAACAGCCCTCCAACTACCTGTTGCATCATCTCAGAAACGTGCCCTCAAATGTTAAGTGCTTGCTGTCAACTTTACAAGCGAACCTAGAAATATACTGTCGTATTTCTATGCCCACCCTCCTGAAATCCAGAAACAATGCCTGACTGAAATAATATAAAACAGCCTGTAGGTTCTAATTGCTTTTGAAAAACAGTGATTTATATAAAGATTTAATTCAGGAAAGCAGCTTGCCATGGTTTGAGACTCACTTCAGCCTTCCAGGCTGTTCTCGGCTTTCTTCCAAGTCCTAACACCCAAGTGATCACACATTAAACCCCCTCCCTGAGCACCCCCAGTGTCACCCCACCAAAACGCAGTGAGGGAAGGAATGAAGGGCTAGTTCTCTGAGCGCTGGTCACTGTCATCGGGAACACCCCCCGCTCCAGCGCTACTCCCTCTCTTACGGGTCTGGATAACACCCTACTTCTTCCCGCGATTTCTTGAGCGATAATCACCTACCACTTCTGGAAGACTGACCCAGTGTGCTGGGCACCCAACAGGAAGTGCCTCTCCGCGCCCAGAGAGCAGCAAGGCCCCCGTGAAGCCGCGCTATCCTGCCCGCTTCTGGTGACACCTGGCACGGCTCCCACGGGTCCCACAGGCTGCGCGATGCAGCTGGGAAGGGCCCCGCATCTGTGTGGCCCTGAGGACTCCCCCTTGGTCACCATGTCACGACGCCGTCACTCCTGCTTTAACCACGAAGCTGACATGTGGCTCTGCGAAGGTGCTTCTGAGCTAGGAGGCGAGGCAGAGCAGGACAGAGCTCCCACCACGGCCACCGACACGGCGCCTGGACGTGCATGGGGACTGGGCCCCAGACCCCAGGCACACCTCCTGAACCAGAACCTCAGCTGGCCTCACGAGACCCCCGAAGCTGGAGCGGGAGGGGGACCACCGGAAGCCTGGCGTGGTCTCCTGCCGGCCCGTGCAGGTCTCCCCTGCTCCTGCACAATTGCCCCACGCACCGCCCTGTGGGCCGCACCCCTCCCTGCAGGAGGTGGGGGAAGGGCAGGTGTCTCAGCGAGGGCGTCTGACCACCTCTGGGCTGAGCCCCCTCCTTCCCACTCTTTCTCTCCCTACGACCTTCAGATGCGGAATTCTGGTCACCAAGTCACGCTCGCTGTGTGTTTGGCCACTCTGGAACACTTGCTCCCGAGTATTCTAGACTGTAGCAGCCACGCCATGAAATCTCGGTTTTTACACATTCTGGAGGCACAAAAAACACCTCTGATAACTCTGTCTGGGCCACTCTGCTGAGTCATTTCCACTGGACCGAAAGAACAAACAACCAGAGCCTTGGATTAATTGCCCTGCCTTTTCCCTCCTGGGCCACGCTGAGCCTCTTGGAGGTGCCCAGAGCCGGCCCAGAGGAAGCTCCCAGCGTGACAACCAGATCAACAGAAGCCACAGGAGAACATGGACATTCTGGGGCTAAGTGGACAGGACATTCCACTCCCGGCCAACACCAGTGATTCATTCAGGAGATACACGTTAGCAGATGAAATATGGAATGTGCTGGCTAAGACGTAAGGAACCAAGGCCCAAACTGTTGAACATATTCTTAATGTGCCATGGAGTAAATAGGAGGGATGAAGGCAAACACGAAACTCTCCCCAGTGAAGGGAGCGGAGAAGCGCTCGGACAGGGATCCACAGGCGGCTGTGGATCGGCGGGCTCTCCGCATGGGCCGGGTCCCTGGAGCCCCCGGGACACCACCAGGTGAGCGTAAAGGCATCCACGCCTCCGCCAGGCCAGGCCTCCTCCCAGGCACACAGCCTGAATCGAACACTTCTGAAAGACATTGACTACGCTTTTCTAAAGAAGGCATCACTTACAAGGTGATTGCTGATGTTTTTCATTTTTTCCACGATGCTCTTCATCGTCTTCAAGACTGGTAAATAAATACTAACCTACAAAACCAACGAGACACATCAGAAGGGTTAAAAAAACATGAACACAGTCAAGTACAGACAGGTGCTCGCTAACTGCGTTTGGAATGTGTGTCTGCTTAAACGCTCTGAAATCCTGTTGTAAAGCTGTCTGAATAAAGCTTCTTTCAAAACACGGAAAGAAAAAAACTTTTCAACTTTGCTCCCTCCTGCTGGCCTCTGGTTACCTGGGCGACCGCGTCCCTGTGGGCATTCTCCCAGGGCCAGGATGTAGCCCTTCAGCTGAGATGCCGCTGCACGCGCCCAGGGGATGACACTCAGCGCCCGCGGGGGCCCGTCCTCTGAGGGGCCGGAGCCACGCACTGGGCCTCCTCCCACCCTGACGGACACCGCGAGCAAGCCTGGCCCTGGCGGGGGCGCCGGCTTCCGAACGATACCCGAGGTGGCGCGGTCGGCGCAGGGGCCTTCCAGCAAGAGTCAATAGTCTAAACCAACCCCTTTTCAGCATTTCTTCCAGAAACTGTGAGCAAGAGGCAGAGGGCCCTTTGGTATCATCGCTCCTCTGAGGGGCTCTGGGATTCCTGCCAGCAGGACTGCAGGAGCCCCCTCTTGGCCCCTGCTGAACCGACTGTCCCCGCAAGTGCTACTTTAGGTTAGTTTTACTCAAGCACAACGATCCAAGCACTTCGCTCTCCGGTGTGTAGAGTGTGGCGTTTCTACTATATGCAACACTGTCTTAAGATGTTTTACGTAAACAGTGAAAGGCAAATACTGCAAGATTTTCCTGGAGTGTTCTTTAAAAATGACTAGTGTTTCCCCTCAGGTACTATACAATTTTTAAATAAAATATACTGCGAGCCCAGAACTAACATCAGGGAATTCTAATCACACCACAGAACACATCATGAGCGGAAGACGATGGGCATCACTCACATCGGAAACTGGGACTGTAGGTTCTTGCAAATCCTTCCACAATTTTCTAGGAATAACCTTAACAGGGATGTCATGTGTCACAATGCGGCTACTGCTCGACACAGATAACTGCCAAGAGAAAAATTAAAACATATTTCCATAGTGTCAACATTAAATAAGCAAACAGAGTAACCGAAAGATAAACAGACATTGATACCAAATCTAAGTGGAATGTTCTTAATTCCTTCATCAAAGTCCATTCACCAAATATTTATGGCGGACCTGTTCTGCTCGGAGTCCCGTAAGGAGTTGGACACGTGGTGAATAAGACAGGTCCCCATGTTCCAGGGGCCCACATGGGTCAATAAGCAAGAAACCAACACACACAGGGGTGTCTGCCTTCGGCTCAGGTTATGATCCCAGGGTAGTGGGATCGAGTCCTGTGTCAGGCTGCCTGTTTCTCCCTCTCCCTCTGCTGCCCCCCCTGCATGCTCTCTCTCTCTCTCTCTCAAATAAGTAAATAATCTTTTTTAAAAAAGCTGCAGCGTGAGGGAAGGTGGGGAGGAGCAGCACCAGGCTGCAGGTTTCAGGGAGCCAGAAGGGGAGACATTCCAAGCAGGAGCCCCAGGGTCCCCAAAGTCTGGGAGCTGGGCAAGAAGGGGACACTCCGGGGAACCATTTGGACGGTGGTAGTTGGCGATTTGGCTCCAAGACAGGTGGGGCCAGGCGTGCAGGGCTCTGGACATCACTGTAAGACATGTGAACGCTGTCCTGTGAGCCAGGAGGGCCTGTGGGGTGTGTGTCCCGAGGAGAGCCAGGTGACAGAGGCTTCTGGAAACAGCACTGAAAACGTGTGCATTCTGGGAGAACGAGAGGTCACCCAAAGGTGTCACAGAGGAGGTGGGGAAAACCCCTCCACGGTGGAACTGGATGGAAAGCATGATTCTGTGCGGGGATATGCAGACGGGAGAAGGTGCAGGAATGCTCTGGTTCGGGAAAAGACAGGGTCCTAGCTGAATGCAATATGATCACAACACTATTAAAATACGAGGAGGCCTGACTCCAACAGAAAGCAAGTATGCGTGCACACATCTTTCCTTTTAATAAAACCAACTAGCTTTCTCCATATCGCTGAAACACCTAGATTTACAGGCACTTGTATCCCTTCTGGGAAGTGTCCGAAATGCTCCCTCCTGCTCACCAGCTCTATAGAGACCGTGAGGCAGGGAAAGTGTTTATTCGTCAGCTTGATCTTCAAGGCTCTGGCATTCTGGGCCGTTTTCAATGCTCGAGATAAATTTTCCGACATCAGCTCTAAATAGATGGCGTTGTTTTCCGCAGACACCCCCTCCATTTGGAATTCACGGAAGAAGTTCTCCTAAGGGAAGGAAAAGCAGGGCCCTGTGTGGCCTCTCCGGTGGCCCCGGGGGTGGAGTCCCCAGGCCTCCAGCACCGCCTGCTCACCTGTTCCAGCTCACACCACATGCTCACCCCTCCGCTGGCCATTTTGTCCGAGAGGATGAAGTTCAGCTTCTGCGGGCTGATGCGGAGCGTGCAGGTTTTGGCAAGCTTGGCTATCATGGCGCTGACCCCTGCGGCGGGGTAAAGCCAGGAATCAGCGGGAAGCACCGCGAGTGTTCCAGGGCGGAACAGCTGGGACCACTGCAGTGGCCGGGTGCCACCGCCCGGTCAGAGACCACCCTGTCTGCTGGTCCCCCGCAGAAAGCCCTCTGATACCGAGGTCATGCCGGCCTGCCCGCAGCCCTGCCAGATGAGGAAAGCCAGCTGGGGGGTTAACTGGCCCCCAGCTGAGGGGTTCACTCACTCAACCGGCACTGAGGCCCACAGGGGGCTGCAGCCTGGAGGCCAGCGCCAGGCTGGGCACCCACAGGACGGAGGACCCCTGGGGCCCCACCACCAGGGCATGTCTGCACTGGGAGAAGCTACCTGACCCAGATCAACCTGGGGAATAAGCCTCGGCGGCCTGGCGCCTGCTCTCCTGCCCGCCAGGTCCCAACCCCGACCACCCGGGTCATCCACCCCAGGGAAGCCTCATCCACCTGCAGGGCTCCCTCCTGAGGGGCATTCTCGCCCCTCTGGCCCCACAGCCCGCGCTCCCGCGCCCCCGACCTTCCCGCGGGCCCCGTCCCCGTCCCCCAGCCCCCCGCCCCTCCCGCCGCCCCCGTCCCCCAGTCCCGCGCCCCCGACCCTCCCGCGGCCCCCATCCCCGTCCCCCAGTCCCGCGCCCCCGACCCTCCCGCGGCCCCCGTCGCCGTCCCCCACCCCCGCGCCCCCGACCCTCCCGCGGCCCCCGTCGCCGTCCCCCACCCCCGCGCCCCCGACCCTCCCGCGGCCCCCGTCCCCTTCCCCCAGCCGCGCGCCCCCGACCCTCCCGCGGCCCCCGTCCCCTTCCCCCAGCCGCGCGCCCCGACCCTCCCGCGGCCCCCTCCTCCCTCACCGCCCCTCCCCATACCCCCTCCTCCCGGGGCCCCAGCCGCGCGCGCGGCCTGCTTCCGGTCCGCCCGCCCCTCTCCGCCCCTCTCCGCCCCCCGCGGCGGCCGCGGCCCCCCGCTCACGCGTGAAGTGGTTCAGACAGGCCGCGTCCACGATCTTGGCCCGAAACTTCATGACGGGACGCGGGCCCGCACCGCGCGTCGGTTGGCGGCGACCCGGGTCTCCTCCTGAGCGTCCCGCCGGAAACGCCGCCGCGCGCGTATTGGTTCCGCCGCCCGGCCCGCCCCCGGGGAGGCGGGGACCCCAGGGTCACGCCCCCTGGGAGGCGGGGACCCCAGGGTCACGCCCCCTGGAAGGCGGGGATCCCAGGGTCACGCCCCCGGGGAGGCGGAGACCCCCAGGGTCACGCCCCCTGGGAGGCGGGGATCCCAGGGTCACGCCCCCGGGGAGGCGGAGACCCCAGGGTCACGCCCCCTGGGAGGCGGGGTTTGGGGGTCAGGTCTGCGGGAGAGGCGGGTCCCGCGTCTCACTCCGGGTCACACCTCCTTGAAGGCGGGGATCCAGGGTCACGCCCCGGGGGAGGCGGGGTCCAGGGTCGGGTCTCCAGGAGAGGCGGGTCCCGGGTCACACACTCCGGGTCACATCCCTGGGAGGGCGAGGTCCGGGATCACGTCCTCGGGTGAGGTCGGGTTTCGGGTCACATCCACAGAGGTCGGGGTCCAGGGCCATGACCGCGGGGGAGGGGGCGTGCCGGGGTCACGTTCCCGTCACCTCCGGGGTGAAGGGGGTCTGTGGTCCGTCCCCGGCGGGCTGGTCTCGGGTCATGCCCCGGCTAGTGACTCCGCAATCCTCAACCCCCCAGGAATGAGAAGTGTTCTGAGGATTCACATTTTGGAAGAACTTTCTGACACCTCTTCCCGATTGTTATAAGACATTAAAAATGAA